AGCCCTGCTCCTGCCAGGACAGTCATTCAGGCCTCACCTAACCTGTGCTTTGTCTTGGATCCCACCCTCTCTTAGGCTGCTACACTCCTGCCTGACAATTCTCCATCATTCCCTCATGGTCCTGCTTGTGAGCTCACAGCTTTCCCAGGTACTGAGCTCACAGTGTCCAGTGTCTCCAAGGACTGCACTTCCACAGTGTCTGCTCAGGACAGGCCACCAGCGTCCTTGTCCCAAGGAGACTCTTCATGTCCATGAACTCACCAGTTGTCTCCATCACCCACTGGTGTACTTCTTCAGTTGTTAAATTATAGTATATATAGTAATTATTCTTAGTCAATTTGTTTCTCTGCTCTAGGTTGAATCCAAAGATTTTTGTTCAAATAATTGAAAGAAGAAACAGTTATAGAAGATAATTCACATTTTCCATTTCTAATGTTTAGGTGCCTATCAACAAACACTGTGCATTTTCTGTGAATCCAGAGTCTTGTAGTTTCTGGCCCATAACATGAAGCATTTATTGAATGAATGATTTATTTTGAAACTACCAAGTGTCTGCTGCATGATAAAATAATGTAAAGAAGCTCCAATACAAAAATATTTTAATAGTTTGTGAAATATACAGTTATAGAATTCTCTGAATATTACCGATAAAATTAGCTTCTCATTTGAAAATATTAAATTAAAACACAAATAACACATTGACAATAACCCTTGTGGTCCAAGAATATCTCCCATCAATACTATAAATCCCAAACACATAAAAATCCTGCAGATATTATTTAGATATGTAAACCGAACTATGATTATAGTAAACACATTCATCGATCAAGTACAATACATCAGAATTGTGGCTTAGAGACACTACGAGTGAAATTATAGGTGCAGTTTTATCAATTTTCATAAATCTACCATAGCCACCCTAGCACTGTCTTTGTGCACCCATTCCATATATATGGTAGTGCAGCACACATCATACTGAAGACTACTTCCCTTCATTACTGAGCTGTTTATACATGTTACTGAGAAATAGGCCAAATTTTTTTAATTGCTTTATTTTTTAAGTTTTATTTTTATCACTCTTATCAAACACATCAGAAAGCATATCAACAGTGCATCTTAAGATAAGTCAGTTTACAACAAAACTGAACAAGGCAATTGTGTTTACAGAAAAGGTTTTCAGCAAAAAAGCATGCAATACAATCAATTGAAATGCAGTGTTCATACTTTGTAGGTATATTGGAAAAGTGGAAAATAAAAGTCCTTTGCTACTCAGCAAGAAAAAAAATAGAGTAAAAGACTTGAATGGAAACCAGAAATTGGGGATTTGAGAAAAGTACTCAGTACTGACACATATATCCTTAACCCTGACTCATGCTGTGATAACCCCACACCATTGCTGGCCTGGCCAGAGCATGTGACCATCAGGGTTAAGGAAATGACACAGCTCCTCCCACACAGAGGAGCCTGAAGCCTCCCAGCCCTGCTCCTGCCAGGACAGTCATTCAGGCCTCACCTATTAAAAATAAAACAAAAAACCCCTCACAAATAATAAGACATCACAGAGAACCATAGTGCCAAGAAATGCCAAGACCAATATGCAATTGAAACTGGTAGAAATGTTATAAACAATTATTCACTATGCGTTGTAATATTCTTGTAATTCTGAGGTGAAAGTAAACCAACAGGAGAGAATACTCCTTTAAACTGGCTTTGGTTTAAGTGATCTTTCACATTTGTTTCTAGTCACACCTTCTTAGCAAAAACATAGCAATTACATGCTACAGAGGGAAAATAGTAATCAATTTAATATTCACAACCAATCACTGCAGTGCTGACATAGGAGGCCATAAACTGTTAAAGTTTATTGATTCTAACTGGATCCCTAAGCATGATTAAAAGATAGCAATGATGAAGCCCTTTTTGGAAAAAAAAACAATCCCTTCTACTCCAAATTCAAAACTATTATAAAGGATATAAATGAATGATACACTATTTAAGATTTTTCAAAAACAATTATGAATGAAAGAGTAAATCCTGTTGGAAGATATGATAGCTTTACACTCTGAAAAGTCAATTATCTACAGAAGTGCAGCTTAACTTTTCTATTATAATAAATAAACACTACTTAGTTCCGTAAGGTGCTGTAAATTCGCAGCTAGTGCACGCTAATGCCACTCACTGTACCCAAAGTGCAAAGGGAAATACAGAGATGTCTCATCTCCACTTCCTTTCTGATCCTTGATTTCATGAACAGTGATGAACACCAAATACACAAAAGCTGAAAATTCAAATTTTTATTTGAAAAAATAAGGCTGAAGTGAACATGGATATTTAATCTGGTTTCATAAACTCTTAATAATTATTTTCTGGGGAACCAATAATGAGGAATGTACAGAAAAGTCAATATTTCTATGTTACCAATACCAACCCTGGGTTTTAAGAAGTAAATATACTTTTTAGACCATTAACTATATGGAAGATTACTAATATCAGTAAGGGAGTGGTTTCCTTCCACTCATCTCTAATTTTTATATCACTTATCTTTCTCCTCCTTACTAAGACCTGGCAGTCTTCTGACGATCCACGCTAACAATTCAGCCATAGCTAATTCATTAACTACAGAGATTCTGTGTCCATGCTGCAGGATTTCAGAATACCTCACCACATTTGATGTTACACACTACACATTCACTGTCCTGATATCATGATTATCATGAAGGGGAGGCAATCTAGAAGAAGAGGGCAATTCCAATGTGGGATAAAAAAAGGACTACAAATAATCCTCGTGGACAATCAAGAGCACAAGGTAGTGAGTAGCTCTGATTTCTACATAGGAGTTTCTCAAAAAGAAACAAAAAAGAAAAAGAAAAATTCCAGGTTCCCCCCCCCCTAGAATGTGACTTATTTTAATTATACAAAGTAGTATAATAAAATAAGCTCCACTCTCTGCAACAAGGATTTACGGTCCATAAGGCAAGTTAAGATAGAATGTTTTTCTGTGCCCTTAAAGCAATACACTGACCAGATGTCATGGAACCTACATGGCCTTCAAAAAAGCCATTCATTTTCTCTGGCTATTGTGGCACCATCCCAATTTGAAGGGAAATAATACTTAGGCAATCACTCATTAAGTTTCCCATGAATTTTGGCATTTATGGTGTCACAAACACTACTGCCATGAGTATGACAACTCTGAAAAGCAAAAATAAAGCAAACTGAAAACAAGTCTGCAGAAGCAGTACAAGGAACAGTGAAAGTGCTGACCTATAGGAAAATGAATAAAAACTTTGTATGAGGAGAACAAAGGTTGTGTAAACTATATACCTTATATCTTGAATTAAGGACACATTAATGACCCTCTATAAAATATAGTTTCCTAAATGCTCTCTGTGGTTTAGAGATTTCTTTTACAGCCCATTTCTCCTATAAAATTATAGCAAAAATAATTAAAATTATTTACCATCATCTTAAATATCCATAGTACTTGTCAATTGCATGCCATTGGATGAATCTACTGGTCATTATACAATTTAAAAAAGGAAAAACATTTGGGGGAGGTGGTTAGGATATCTAACATGTTATATTTTATGGCATCAGGAAGAGAAGAAGCTAACCTAAAACAAAGAAAAACCTTTTAAAATTTGGAGTATTCCAAACACTAAAATGTCCATGTTCTCTAAGACTAAGAATGTAATTTATTGAAATATACCACAAGAGGTTCAGATGAGTGCCCCATGATGGGAACTCAGTATTTCATCATCACTGAGAAGGGTTGTAAGTAACAGTAACTTGAAAGACTACCATCTCAAAATAAAGGTGATTTGTTGAGCACCTTAAGAAATGAGAATTCTTTTGACCTTTTGTGACCAGGGACTTGGTAGGAATGTTTTATTCTAGAGAGCTACAGCTAGAGTAATCAGATTTGAAAAAGGAACCCAACATTAAAAATGGAACTAGATCCAAGGAAGAATTAAATTCTGCCAGGTAATTCTGGCTTCTCCATCATATATAATGTGGGAACAAAATCAAATTTGAAGTTTCATGTGAACAAAAATGGCAAATCAAGGACATTTGGGACTTTACTGTATGACTCCAAATTATCCCAAGAAAAAGGTAGAGGGTGTAATTAATTATCACCATCTGAGAATCTTTCATCCAAATGAGTTTCAATAGTTTCCAGGAAACACAAGGCACTTGCTTAAATCTCTAACTACCTCCATATCCACTTTAATCCAGACCGAAAGTCAAGATGTGATTCCATCTGTATCATAACCTGAATGAAGCCATCTAGCATGTACCCTTGCATAAGAGTCCAGGTAAAACATGTGGTTACTGGGTGTCTCTCTCACTTCCTCACCCATTAACTATTCTATTCACTATCAGTTTCTACGGTGCTGATTTTCACTAAATTATAAAAAATAAAATGCCATGCTGCCAAGTATAACTGATAGAAATTATGTAAGATAGGCCTAATTTAATAAAGTTGGAAAATAAAACCTAAGAAAGTGATGACAGACCAAAATTTAATACCAGTGAAGACAAAAATGTAAAATTAAAATCTTGAAAATACATTCTAATTTTTTTAATTCCATGAGTACTATTTTCATCTTAGGTAGCATCAAAATAAGCAATAAGAATTTAAATAACACAAAAGATGATCAACTGTTCCTAAAATATTCATAAATATTTTCAATAAAAATAAAAGCACTTTGTCAGAAAAGAAATAATGTCATATCTATTGCCAATTTTAGGTTGTCAGAGATTGGAAAGATAAGTGTGCAGCATAAAATATTTGTACCATATTATAAAATGTGGTGTAAAAATTGTAAACAATATTTTAAAGGGATCATCCAGGTAAATGTAGTATAAACAGCAATATACTTGCATGACTAAGGTGTGTTCACGCTGTATAGACTACAGCCTGTACTCACATGGTTTACCTGGCACTGCTGCTCTTCATCATGATCGGTCCCTCCATTAGAGAGACTGCAGCACAGGATTCAATCGTCTAAAACACTGTGAAGCATGCTAGTGAGATCCTTTAATCCATAAGCAGCACCCTCAGCTACTTCTTTGCTAGGAAACACATGAGCAAAACTTGTGATTCCCTTGCAGACTTGTGCAATGGCAACCAGAAGGAAGACAGCAGAAAATCTTCTGGCAGGGAAAGTAAGATTCTGTGCTAGTCTTCCTGTGACATGCTTGCATGTTATGTGACCTAAACTATGACAACTGTATTTTAAGGACATACTTTCTTTCTAGAGGAATGTTTAAAAGTGGAGTCTAAAATTAAAAATTGTCATCCTATAATTCAGCAGTCTACCATCTGGGTTAAGTTTTCACACATGAGAACGTGCATTCCACAGGCAGAGCAAAAGTTAAACAGTTTCAATCAAACTCCCTAACTGGCTTCTCTCTTCCTGTTGATTTCTACTTCACTAGGCTGGAGGGGAAAGAGAGGGGCGCTCCTCCAATCCACCCCCACCAGCTCCCACCAGGAGCAAGGGCTTTGTAAAGAGAAAGCAACACTCCACCCTGCAAACATGAACGGGCAGCAAGAATGAATCCATTCTCTAAGGGAAGCCAGGCTGGGGACATCCGCAGGGAGGGAACCAGATGCAAATGCACAGCCCTGCTCCTCCTGGGTGGGGGGTCCCCATTGGGGTTGCTCAGTGCTCCTGAGATTACAGTGTCAGGTGCAAGCAAGTCAAAGCAGCTTCCACAACAGGTATCTTCTATCAGACCAGTGCTGGGGAGAAAGGCGTTTCAAAGGGTGCTTTTGTGAAAAGTCCAAGTGGTTGCCAAAATCATACTCCAGTATGTATAAGGGAAATCAGCTAAAATCTTGAATTGTTTCAAAAAACACTATTTCAGTTAACCCTTGCAGTTACACAACATATGTTTCCAAGATCAACACAAAACCGGAAAATTAGACACCACTGAAACAATAATGAATCCCCTCAGGAACCAGAGCTGTGCCCTCTGGGAAGCTGACAGGCCTTGCCAGACCAGTCAGGATCCAGGCTCCTCATTGAGCCTCTGTGGTCAAACCCACCCCCTGCAGATCTGAAAGCAAGGGATGCATCCCCAGCAGGGGGCGCCATGGAGCCCACTGCCCAGGAGTTGTCCCAACCCCTCCCCTGGTGAAGTGGAACTAAAGCCACCAGCTGTCACCCAAAGACACCCCTCAGGCAGCTTAACCACCCTAGCGTCCCCCAAACAGGCCCAGGTGAACTCTGTGGTGTGCAGCACTTCCTGGTGTTGCATGCTTGCTGAATTCCAAGCCATCTCAGTGACTATCAGGGAGGAAGCACCATCTTAACAAGGTGAGGCTGCTGTGGCTCATACCTGTGTGCAACCACATTACTATGTGAGAGGAATAAATCTGTGGTCCCCACTGAATCTGAGCTGGCCTGCCCTGGGAGGTGCTCCCCCCCTCACTGTATCACAGGTGCCAGGAATCAGACTGCCAGGGTGGAATACCGACAGGCAGCTGGCTCTGGGAACACCTTGTCTCTTTTGTGGAGGGGGCAAGTTCGTGGGCTGAGAGGGGACCCCCTGCCCCCTGTGAGTTTGGGAGCCATGTACACTGTGAGTGTGGGAATTCTGTGACAGAGATGTGGAAATATGTAGAAAACTGCCAGTGTCATTATTCACTTAGAAAGAAAAATATTTGTATGGTGCCACAAAGGACCTCAGCCAAAACAGACATAAGTAAAAAGGACAAAGCAAGAGTAATTTTTCCATGGATTTGAAATATAAAGATATTTTCAATACATTCAGGAAGGCGTGCGAGCACACTCAAGAAAGAACTGCACCAACAAGGTTTGAGTCCACCACTTTATGTGAACTGGAGGCATGGGGTGGTGTCTGGGGCACAGTTTAATTAAATATTCAAAGGGGGCAGGGTTGGGGGAGGGACCTGAGTATCACTCATTTCCTTGACCTTTTTGGGAAATCTCAGAAGTGTCATGGCTTCAGGTGCATGAAGGGAGTAGGGTGCTAACCATGGTGAGTTTATTACAATGACTTTATAATGAGCTAAAGTCCATCATGGAGACACAGTTGGCAGCCCTGTTGGTTATTTCCAGCTGGCACCTGTTGTAAGTGCCTAAACTGCAGGAGCTTCCATTTTCCACTGCATGGAATCTGGCGCGTTTGGTGCTGCAGCAGTCAATCTTCCTGCTAGCTATCCCCCACCCTGATACATCCATGCTACCCCACACATAGGTACAATTTTACGTGCCTTTTAAAATTTTTTTAATTATTTTCATATATAACTTCTCAGCCTTTAGGCTAGGATCAAGTGTAAAATCTTATTTTTGTAAAGAAAATTAATTTTTCCCTATGGAGTCCAGAAAGAACACGGCCCAGCTGACACCTTGATTTTGACCCAATGAGACCTTTGTTGGTCCTCTGACTTCCCAAACGCTAAGATCAGACAATTTTACTGTTTAAAGCACTAAGTTTCTGGTAATGTTTTAAAGCAGCAATAAAAAATTAATACTATCACTTAAAAAATACTGTCAGATAATGACATAGACACAGATGTATAAACTAACAGAACAGAAAAAAAAAAAAACAGCTTTGGGGCAAAGGGCCCAAATACATACAGTGGGAAAAATACAATCTTTTCAGCAAATGGTCTGGGGGAAAGTTGTATCCACATTCAGAAGAATTAAATTAGATCCTTATTTCATACCATAGACACACATAAACCCAAAATACATTAAAATCTTAAATATAAGACCTGAAGGTGTAAAACTACCAGATAAAAGCATAAGAGAAAAGCTCTACAACATAGGCATGGGTGATAATGTTTTTGATAGCAACCTGAAAGCAACAAAACAAAACAGACAAATGTGACTACACAAAATGAAAGTTTTTGCACAACAAAGGAAACAACAAGGTAGAGACAAGACAGACAAAGGACCTCAACATACATATCTGAAATGAAAACATGCACGTGAACATCATGCACATGGGAAATGGCTGGACACCACCAAAAATCAGGGAAATGCAAATTCACACCACAGTGAGCTGCCAGCATCACATCCGTTAGAATGGCTTTTATCACAGATGAAAGATAACATGTTTTTGTGGATACAGTCTAAAGAGAACTTGCGTATCACTGCTGGAAGTGTAATTGTACAGACAGTGTGAGAAACACCGTGGCCATCCCTCAACAAACTAAAACAGAATTACCACGACCAGGTGCATGCACAGAAGAAATGAAATAAAGTGTGTTGAAGAAATACTTGCTCCCATGTTCACTGCAGCAGTTTTCACAAGAGCCAAACTATGAAATCAACCTACATTTCCATTTAGGATAAAGAAATAAAATGTAGTCAGTGGGATACCATTCAGCTGTTAGAAAGATAAGGCTGATACTTTGGACAACATGGATGAACCTGGAGGATATCACGCTGAGTTAATTGACTCAGAGAAAGACAAATACCACTCAGTCTCAGAACCCACGTGGAATGTTTACAAACTTAACTCAGAGAGGAGAATGATGGCCTACAAAGGCTGGCATGGAGGAAAGGAAGGAATAGCAAGTTGTTACTCAACGCATACACAGTTTCAGATATGCTGGAGCAATAAGTTTGAAATCTTTACACCTTGCAGTGATTACAGTCAACAACATATCACCTATTTTGAAATTGCTAAGTGTTCATTTCAAATGTCTTATCCCAAAAAACAAATAAGTTGACAAGGTGATGGACATATTAATTCACTCAGTTTAATCATTCCACATTGTTTAAAGATACAAAAGCATCATTGTACCTCATAATTGTATGCAATACAATTTGTTAGTCAAAGATTCTATTAATATTGAAAGACATGTATTAAATTATTAATAGTGGAAATAATAAAGCAATTGAGAGCAGTACTATTTGGATGGATGGGCTGGTTCACAATAGTGTAATATATGTTTAAAAGTGTTTAAATACACATACATCGTACACATTTGTAAGATTTCACTGGGTTGAGCAGTGCCATTTCAGTGACAGATGTGTGTTCATCACACAAAATTCCATAAACATAATTTAAAGACATATATACTAAAGACATTACTGATAGGGCTACTTACAAGTTACTAATGGCACTATTTCTCTGGATTGTTATTTTCAAAAGTCAATCATGCCTGCATGGAAAATAATGTGTAAAGACATGAGAGGGTACTTTAAAAAGTTCATAGAAAATGGAATTAAAAGATAATTATGGTGCAAAAAATGAAATTAATTGATAAATTTTCAGAATACATATTTGCATAAACTTTGAAGGCCCTTCATATTTCTTTAATCTTTTTCATTTTGAAAAATATTCACTAAGTACCGCATTTGTGGCTAGTCTATGTCCTAAGTGATAGTAATAAGGCATCTAACAAGACTGACAAAGTGTCTGCTCACAAGGAGTTCACATTTATTTAGAGAAAACATACAAAATCCAAAAAATGTTAATATTAGAACTGTAATCAGAGTTAAATGTTATGAATACAATCTCCTAAGTAAGTGGAATAGAGAATGGTGGAACTCTCCAACATATAGATGGTAAGAAAAGACTATTTTAAATTTGTATTCATGTATTTATTTAAAAGCCAGAGAGAGACAGGTGCAGAGACAGGAAGAGAGAGATTTTCCATCTGCTCATTCACTCCTCAACTGCCTACAACCACTGGTGTTGGGCCAGGCCAAAGCCTGGAACTCCAGCCAGGTTCTCTGACATGGGTTGACAGGGACCCAAGTACTGTAGCCATCGCCCAGTACCTCCCAGGGTACCCATTACCAGGATGTGGGAATGAAAATGGAATTGCAGGGCTTGTGTTGTGGTGCAGTGAGTTAAGCCAACACTTGTGATGCCAGCATCCCATATCAAGTGATGGTTCAAGTCCCAGCTGTTCCACTTCCAACCCGGCTTCCTGTTAATGTGCCTGGGAAGACTACAATGTCCCAAGTACTTGGACCTCTGCCACCCATGTGGGACCCCAGTATGAAGCTCCTGGCTCCTGGCTTCAGCCTGACCCAGTCCTGGCCTTTGCAACCATTTAAGGGGTGAACCAGCAGATGGAAGCTCACTCTCTCTGCCTTTAAAATAAATTAATTAAGAAAAAAACTGATCTCAGACTCAAACCCAAGCACTCTGGTATGGAATGCGGGTTTCCTAACTGATGTCTTAACCACTGTGCCAAATGCTCACCCCAGAAAAAACTATTTCTTATGACCTTTGTCCTTTTTTACATTGGTGCACATAGGCGGCTGAAATGTTTCAGAAGTAGCCTTCATTTTATAAAGATCTACTATGTCTTCTTCCAGTTGTCTTTTCTCTTCTTCAAGCTTTATCACCTCCTTGTGTTGAATCCTCTTCACGTTCTCAAACTTGTCGTGTAACTGGGACATCAATGTGCAGTTGTGACTCAAAGCACAGTGCGGCAGAACAGCTGAAAGAATATACTTGCCTTTTAGGGTTATCAAACAACTCAAACATTCACAATAAAAGAAAATACTCAGATGTGGGGTGTCCTTGATGTTAATTTTGACTATGTACCCATGGAATCAAATGTAATAGAACCCACAGCTGTGAACAAAAAAATCTGAATTTTTCATTTTTCCTAATAACCTATATTTTCTGAGTCAACATTTTCTCCTCAAAACATGTTCTAATAAAGTTTAATAAATCCATGCTCACTAAAAATACATGCACATTAAGATACACCATGGTTTGTGAAACAGCAGCTGAGACTTTAATTGGTAAAGATGCTTTGAAAGAAAGTCTTATAATTTCCTTGTTAAGTAAAATCAGTTCATGTGGAAAACAACAAGAACTCACTTACGTTTTAGCTCCTCGGGAATTCTTATTCATGTATGGGGCTTAAAATCAATTCAATTAACTATGCAAAAGAGGCAGAGCCACCTTGGATCTCATTAGAGGCAGGCCTGCATCTGTGATATGATTTGTCAACAGCACAAAGATTGTTATATGCATCAGAGAAGCTCTTTGTAATTCAAATTACTTATTCAAATTATGTACTTACTTAAGCAGAGAGATATAGAGGCCACTATCCACTGGCTCACTTCTCAAATGCCCACGAGCTGGGAACTACATCCAGGTCTAGCTTATGGGTTGCCTGGATCCAACCACATGGGGCATCACCAGCTGCTTTCTAGGGTATGCATAAGCAGGAAGCTGGACAGGGAGTAGGGCCAGGACTTGAACCCAGGCAATCTGACACAGGATGTGAGTTTCTTCACTGCTGTGCCAAATACCTGCTCTAGAGAAGGTGTGCTTTTTAAAATTACCATTTGCATGGAATGATACGATGAAGGAGAGGTGTAATTGTGGCTTAAGTTTTAAAAAATACATATGCTGGGGACTTTTGCTACCACACTAATGGTCAGTAGGCTGAGATGACTGTCAAGAATGCAAGCAGTGTTGATTTCAGTGACTCTCAGTGCTGGGTGTTCATTAGTCATCCAGTGAGCCTGTAAGTCTCCCAATGTGTAGACTGCATACAGATCAATTACATTAGAATACCTGGGTTGAAATCCATGGGACAGAGCCTTCAAAAGTTCCCTACATGATGTTAGTGTGGGAGAGGGACATGGAAGGTCAGACAAGGGGCACAAAAACACAGTAGCAAGGACCTAGCAGGTTCTGGTATTTGGCATCCCAGTGGGGTGATCACTAGCCTTCAGGGAAATGCAAATCAAAACCACAGTGAGACTTCACCTCATCCCAGATAGAGTGGCTCTCATACGAAAATCAACAAACAACAAGTGCTGGCAAGGGATACCCTAATCACTGGTGGTGGGAAGGTAAACTGGTAAAGGCACATTGGAAGACAATATGGAGGTACCTCAGAAATCTGAATATTGACCTGCTGTATGACCCAGCCATCTTACTCCTGGGAATTTACCCAAACAAAAAGAAATCAGTATATTAAAGAGTTATCTGAACTCTATGTTCATTGCAGCTCAATTCATAACAGCTAAGATATGGAATCAACCCAGATGTCCATCAACTGAAGACTGGATAAAGAAATTATGGTGTATATATACACTATGGAATACTACACAGCAGTAAAAAAAATGAAGTCTTGTCATTTGCAACAAATTGGATGCAACTGGAAACCATTACACTTAGTAAAATAAGCCAGTCCCAAAAAGGCAAATACTATACGTTTTCCCTGATCTGTGGTAAATAATACAGTACCTAAAAGGTAATCTACAGAAGTGAAATTGACACTTTGAGATATGATGATTTTGAATAGCCTTTGTCTCAACTGTTGGGAAAGTGTTTTTTTGCTTCATACTATTTGTTGAATTATTTATTTAGTGTAGAGTAAATATTACAAGGATAAAATTAACTGAAAATAGTCTTTGTAAAACATAAGAAGCCGGCGCCGTGGCTCAACAGGCTAATCCTCCACCTTGCAGCACTGGCACACCAGGTTCTAGTCGGTCGGGGCGCCGGATTCTGTCCCAGTTGCCCCTCTTCCAGGCCAGCTCTCTGCTGTGGCCCGGGAGTGCAGTGGAGGATGGCCCAAGAACTTGGGCCCTGCACCCCATGGGAGACCAGGATAAGCACCTGGCTCCTGCCATCGGATCTGCACAGTGCGCTGGCTGCAGCACGCCAGCCACGGCGGCCACTGGAGGGTGAACCAATGGCAAAAGGAAGACCTTTCTCTCTGTCTCTCTCACTGTCCACTCTGCCTGTCAAAAATAAAAAAAAAAAATAAGAATGGGAATAGGAGAGGGAAGAGGAAGAAGGGTGGGAGTGTGGGCAGGAGGGAGGGTAGGGTAGAAAGTATCACTATGTCCCTGAATCTGTATATAGGAAATACATGAAATTTGTATGCCTTAAGGTTTTTTTTTTTAAAAAGAAACAAATCTGGGTAAGACTTGAATTCCACAGCCACTGTCCCTGTGAATTCCTAGGAGTGCATGTCAGGCCCACCTTAGGCCCATGTTGACACACTGAAAGGAGTATAACCTAACACAGCACAGGCCTCTGCACAAGGCCAAGTAACTTCAGAGGCTGCATCCATGAGCACCCCCTGGGGTAGGGTACAGGTCTTTGGGCTTTAACAAGTGCTGGGTCTCGCGGCAGCTGCTGGATGGGCTCAGAGCTCCAAAGCAAGGTCCTGAACTCCCTCTCCTGCCCTACTCTATAGCAGCTGTGGTCTTGTTCCAGTTTCTGCCAAGGTTTGTGGGAGGAGTGACAGAGGTTGTCTGGCTATAGAAAGCCCAATACTCAGTCTGCAGGCAAAAGCCTTAGGGGCAGCAGCCACAGGGTTCTGTGTGATTCTGAATTTTATTGCAGTGGGCCTTGCACTGGAATTCAGCTGCCTCTGCCTCTCACAAGCAGGAAGTATCTCTCTCCAGACTGTGCTGCTTAGAGTAGGGGAGGGATGACACAGGCATCTCTTTCCTTTCTGATTTCTTCATTGCAATGCTTCTTCTTATTCTCCTAAAGGCACTATGGTCTCCCGCCTGGCATCTGTAGCTCTTGTGATGGTGACTTGATGTGTTGATAATTGTGAAACTTTCTGCCTCCATGGGAAGGTGGTCCCCAGATCATCTTACTCAGCCACCATCCTGCTTTGTACCACCTATAAATGCCTTTTGAACTGAGTAATGGGCACAGGCTGGAAGAATTATAGGATTAAGCCAGAAAAAAAAAAAAAACCTAGATCCCCATAATTTCAGCATAAAGGGAAATACTGCTGAGTAATAAGAAGACAAGAGCTGCAGGGAAAATCTAAATCTTCTCAGGCATTAGTTAGGACCAAGTCAGAATACTGATAGAAATACAGACAGTAAGGCCTTCTTGATGAAGTTGCAGATAGAAACAAGGTATTAGAAACTTCAGTAAAGACCGTCCTCAGGGTACAGTTGTAAAGAACATGGCTGAATTGTTCCTGTGTCTAAGGCATTATTCAGGACACAGTTTAAGAGCCATGAGCCAGGGTATCTGGCAGAAGGGAAATCTAAGGAGCAAATCAGTCAAGGGTCTACACAACTTTTAACTACCTCCAGTAAAAAGAGGAGAGAAATTATTTAAAGATGGAATTTATAATTAAAATGGAAGGAGGAAGTAAAATTTTGAAAACCCTAAAGCTGGCCCTGTGAATAATAATTTTCATGTTCAGGAGAGAATACTACAGATGTACCCAAGTGGCCATTTGCCAAGGATTAATGTGGCTGTCAGTTACCCAGGTTCTAGTCATGAAGACAAGGCTTTTCAGAGGGATCTGTGAAGCAAGCCAGGGCCTTCACCACAAGATTCCTGGAGAGGCCCCTTGGGGATCTCAGCATTCATTTCTCTGCTCCACCTCAGGACTCTGCTCCCCAGATTCTGGTACAGCATCCTGGACCACCACAGTCATCACCAAGTGAGCTCAGGTGTGGCCTGTCCCACTGCTACATGAGGTACAAGCCAACATTTCTAGCAGCATCCACACGTTACTAATTCTGTGGCCACACAGACTGCAAGAGCTGTGGAAACACAGATGTCTCTATCTAGACAAAGGATAGCATGTGGGCAATCTGGGGCCCAGGTAAAGACTTGACACAGGGCACAGCCACTGCATAGAATTCCCACCACAGCAATGCCTCATGGGATTCATACTTTTTGAAGTCAAGCAGCCTCAAAAACTTCAACTGATCTCTCGAGTTTACCCCCTAAGTTAGGAAGACCACTAAAAGTTGATGTAAAGTATATCAAACTGGCAGCACCTGCCTCTTTCTTAGCTTCTTTAAATGTTGCTTCTTTCTCCCTCACCCATTGCATAAACCTCTATTTTAGCTTCATAGATCTCCTGAAAGCTAAAAAGCACATTTGTATTACTCTCACATTAAAATGCCCACATAAATAAACATATAAAGATATATTTGTAGGCTAGGTTCTATAAAAGAACATTTACCAATATGACAACTTATAGATCATGGGATATATAAACTGAGGTATAATATTTAACCTGACTATATGTAGACTATAAATAAAGAGCACTAAAAAGGGTACTATAATTTTTAACTGCTTATAGTAGTGATTTCTTATTTCTTCCATTTTCTGTACTTCTTATATTTTGGCAATAAAATTAGAGGAAAGTTCTAATGATTGAAACTACTTTCAAAATAGTTGAAATAGGAGCTGGTGTTGTGGTGTAGCAGGTTACGCCATCACCCGTGATGTTAGCATCCCATATGAGCACCAGTTTGTGTCCTTGCTGCTCCACTTCCAATTAGTTCCCTGCTAATGCACCTGGGAAAGCAGTGGGAGATGTACCAAGTACTTGGGCCTGTGCTCCCATGTGGGAGACCCAAATGAAGTTCCAGCTCCTGTCCTTGGCCTGGCCTAACTCCAACCCCAGCCACTGTGGCCATTTGGGAAGTGAATCAGTGGATGAAAGATATCTATCTCTGTCTTCCCAACCTGTCTTTCAAATAAATAAATCTTTTTAAAATAGTTGAAATAAAGCTAGGCATCTTTAAAAGTATCATTCACTTAAGATAGTTCAATTCTGGTTTTGTCATCAAGGAATCATAACCAATTGACTACTAAAGTACTATAAATACTGTTACAACACAAATACCATCCATCTTCAATAGCGCTAAATACATCTGCTCTAAAACTTTTTCACTTGACTTCCAAGACATTGCATTAATGCTTTTCAACTCTTTCCTTCACCAAACCTTCTTAATTTCTTTTGCCAATCTGTCAGTGTTTGCTTATATTCACCAATCTCTTCTCTGATTCTGTTTCACATAAATACAAAAATCAAAACAAAACAATACCTTGGATACATTTTTCAATATACACAAATATTTAGCTTATAAATGAGCTTTTTTTTATATTGCTTCTATTAGTTCCACCTAAGACTGAGGATGATTAAAAAACCTAAAATGAAGGATGGGTTGGGATGGGAGAAGTACAATTATCTGCATGCCCAAATGACTACACTCTGTGGTTGTATGGACTTTCTAAATTATTCATCTAGTTGTTCCAGCCATGTCTGTACTCACCTAACTGTCTGGTTGTCCGGGCCCACATCAGTGAAACCCATTGACTGCAGTTTGAAGTACCTGAAACGTTCATAGTGCTGAGTGTGTGTCTGTTCTTTCAGGTCTTCCATATTGGTAGGAAGAAGCATATCCCGGAGCTTAACAAAGTCACAGTGATTTTCATTTTCCACTGGTCAGAAAAACAACACATCTACAACATTCACTGTCAATACCTGGTACTCAGTAAGCTTTCTCAAAAGAATGCAAGAATGGAAACCACATTTAAAGGAAAGCCAACATTATCATCTGAATAACAGCAATAATTCTTTTAACAATATAACTGTGTTCCTACTAATACATACCAACTATATGAAGTTTATTTCTAGATTAGCAAATTTTCTTTAAATTCAATACATAAATAAAAAATAAAAAATAGTAAAACAATGTGTCTCATTAGCATCCACTATAGGTTTTCATGGTTAGTGCGTTAGTACTTTACAAACTATCCTGAAGGTATTTCACAGACTTCTAACAAAGTATGTATTATAACATCACTGAAGGAAATACTTTTATTAAGTAAAATTCTACTAACAAAAATATAATATGCAAAAGATAGATTATGCATGCTTTAGTTATAATTCCCATTTATATTCCATACATGTGTTTCACTAACCAGTATACTGAAATAAACCAAAAATGCAGAAGCAGCTATATTTCTATCAGATAAAGTAGGCTTTGAGGCAAAAACTGCAAACCAAGAATTAGAAGGTCATTATATAAAAACAGAGGAGTCATTTAATCAAAAGGATATAGCAGGACTGGCATTTAGTCTAGTAGTTAAGATGCCAATTAAGATACCTGCTTCACATATTGGAGTACCTGGATTCAGTACCGACAGTCAGCTCCTGGCTCTGGCTTCCTGCTAAGGCAGCTCTGGGAGGCAGAAGTGATGGCTTCTGCATCCACAAGGGCGGTCTGGACTGATCTTCCAGCTCCTGACTTTAGCCCCAGTCCAGTCCCAGTGACTGTGATCATCTAGGGAGTGGACTGGTAGGAGGACGCTCTCTCTGTATAACTGTCTCTCTGCCTCTCAACTCAATAAATATATTCAAAATGACATAGCACTTATAAATATATTTGCATCTAAATATATATTTTCACCTAAATATAAATATATACTTATATATAAATATATTTTACCTAAATATATAAATCAAATATTAATAAATCTTTAAGAACAATATAGACTGTAATATCATAGTAGCATACTTAGAAATCCCTTTCAGAAACTGGCTGATTGGGGCTGGCATTGTGGCACAGTGAACTAAGCTGCTGCCTGCAATGTCAATATTCCATATGTGAGCACAAGTCCTGGTTGCTTTGCTTCCAAAATAACAATACATCACCATCTTTTAAAAATAAATAAATAGGCCAGCACCACGGCTCAACAGGCTAATCCTCCGCTTAGCGGTGCTGGCACACTGGGTTCTAGCTCCGGTCAGGGCACCGGATTCTGTTCCGGTTGCCCCTCTTCCAGGCCAGCTCTCTGCTGTGGCCCGGGAGTGCAGTGGAGGATGGCCCAAGTGCTTGGGCCCTGCACCCCATGGGAGACCAGGAGAAGCACCTGGCTCCTGCCTTTGGATCAGCGCAGTGCGCCGGCCGCAGTGCGCCAGCCATGGCAGCCATTGGAGGGTGAACCAACGGCAAAGGAAGACCTTTCTCTCTGTCTCTCTCTCACTATCCACTCTGCCTGTCAAAATAAATAAATAAAATAAATAAATAAATAAAAATTAAAACAAAAAATAGGATATGAAATCAACCCAAGAGTCCACCATTCAATGAGTGGATAAATAAAATGTAGCAAATAAACACAATGGAATACCATTCAGGCTTAAAATGAAGGAAATTCTGTCATTTATAACAAAAACCTGGAGGCCATTTAACTACGAAATAAGCCAGGCACATGGGCAAATATGGCATGCTTTCAGTTATTTAAGGAATATTAAAAAGTTTAATTTACATAAATAGTGAATAAAATAGTGGTTATCAGGAGCTGGATAGAGTAGTGGATAAGGGAGATTTTGGTCAAAATATAAAATATTTTGTTAGATGAAAGTGAAAGTTCAAGACATCTACTGTACATCATGGTTACTATTGTTAACATACTGCATCCTTAAAAATTTCAATACTGAGTATATATTAATATTCTCACCACAAAGCTTATGTATATGGTGCTTAGCTCAATTTAGCCTTTCAACAACAGACACATAGTTCAAAGTGTCACGTTGCATATGAAAAGCACATACAATTTTGTCAATTAAAAATTCTTTGTTAAAAAACCAACTCACATGTCTTTCTTTCTCTTGTGTTGCCATTTCCAAAAGTCTCAGGATGACTTATTATTTATAGCACATGATAATTTTATATTTTATTTATATTCATTATATTTATATTTATTTTATATGATAATTTTACTATAGCTTATTTTACTTACATTTATTTATATTATACCTACATAATATTACATGTAGTGTAACATATAGCAATATAGTAAAATCTGAATATTTCATAACTTTGAAACTCTAAAAATCCTACAGGTGACAGACATGGAATGTTTAACTCCGTATTTCCAGAAGCTGCACTCTTTCATCACATTTACCTTGCAAAACTCCCCAGGGGTAGTCACAGCCTCTGACCATCCTTTTCCCAACTTCACCTCATCCATACTCCCTGCCACAGCGAAAGGCCTAGAAAATAAGAGTGATATTAATTGAATTCTTTCATACTAATGTGGTTGACGCTGTACAAAAATAAGAGATGAGAATGTCACAATACATCTAATTAAACAAAGGATATATACTGCATCAGATCTCAATACTTGACAGCATATATGTGCTAGCAGATTTTTTGCCAACATTGATCTCAGATTATGCACATAACTGAAAATTATCTACTGAGCAGAGCCTACAGCAGGGTATCATGCTGTGGGGAATAAAAAGAAAAAAGATTTTAGTGGACATATAATTCTTCCCTATATTTATCCTGAAACACAGAGACATTGTTGAGAAAATTACATTCATACCACTTTTAATTCTAGTATAAAAATTAAAAGAAAATGGTACTGCCGGTGCCGCGGCTCAACAGGCTAATCCTCCGCCTAGCGGCGCTGGCACACTGGGTTCTAGCCCCGGTCAGGGCACTGGATTTTGTCCCGGTTGCCCCTCTTCCAGGCCAGCTCTCTGCTATGGCCCAGGAGTGCAGTGGAGGATGGCCCAAGTGCTTGGGCCCTGCACCCCATGGGAGACCAGGAGAAGCACCTGGCTCCTGCCTTCGGATCAGTGCGGTGCGCCGGCCACAGCTCACTGTCCATGGCAGCCACTGGAGGGTGAACCAATGGCAAAAGGAAGACCTTTCTCTCTGTCTCTCTCTCTCACTGTCCACTCTGCCTGTCAAAAAGAAAAAAAAAAGAAAATGGTACTAAAAATAACTAAAACAATGTTACTGGATAAACACAGCATTTGCTTACAAGGAATACTATATGCATCCCAGTGAATTCGAAGTGCAATTTAGAGCAAAATGGGATCTCTATGGCTCATGACAGAGAGGTTCTCCAGGCCAAGGATGTCTGAAAAATGATAACCAAAAAACCAGTACACAGGATTTTTTTTTTTTAGATTAGGCATTGATAAACTTATAAGCATTGTTTCTTAGATACATACTAAGTAATGCATACATTATGCCAAGAATTCAAAGAAAAATATGGAGAATAATATAATGAAAACTGTGATCAGATTTTTAAAAAGCAGAAGAATTTAAATAAATCACTTTAAATAGGCACCATACTAATTTGAAATAAGGAATATTTTGTTTACCTATGTAGTTATACATACATCTATACATCTAAGAAAACATGTATGGTTTATTTTTTCATCACACTGTCAATAAGAATCTTTGCTTGTTTACAAAGGTTAGAAAAATGTGCTATTTAAACCAAGCTACAGTTCAACATTTCAAAGCACACTAAAACCATAAGATTACTCAAAAACCATAAGATTACTCAATTTCATTATGGTAACATCTCAGCTGTTACAACAGTGGGGGGAAGAAGCATTCAAGAGGTTAAGTAGCAGGGTTGGAGTTATTGAATTCCACATACCAGCTGCACCAAGAACCCAAGAGCATACTGACTACAAAAATGAACATGCGTCCACCAGTAACTTCAAAGTTCTGGCATAGCTATGTTAATCCCTTTTGATGTGTGAAAGTTTAGTATATGACAAACATTTCACTTTATCCCCCAAAGAACCCAATCATACCCGACACACACACACACACAAATCACTTTCCAGTTACACTTCTGCATGTCTTTAACAAAATAAGGGATACAATCATAGCAAACCACAGGATACCTTATCAGCACGCTATCTAAAATGCCTCATTTAAAAACACTTGGTAAAAACATATTCACAGCAGCTGCTGTGAATGGCTATGGTAATTTTATGATAGAAACCCTGCTCCAGCAGTGCTTTCCCCAGCAGATGTCTGAAATCGCAGCATATCATCACCCTGCTCACTTCCTATTATACTGTAATACACACAAAGCCCAAAAAAAGCACCTTTTAGCATCATATCATGATTTTGAAATGTGGGAAAAAATACAAAGTGGATAAAATGGTTTCCATGATATCTGGGCAGAGTGCCTTTTAAGTTTTTTATATTATTGCACAGACATTTGTTCTCACATGTTTTTCAGTTTTTCAGTTTTTATGTCTTTTCTTAAATGTGAATAAGTGCTACGGATAAAATACAAATGTAGAAAATAACAGCAGCATGATTTGTCAAAGTTAATCTCTAATTTAGTAAGAAAAATAGGCTTTCTAAACTGTACTAAATGTTTAAAAATATTGTTCTAATGCAGTGTTAAGTCCTCAAAAGCCGATTCAAAGTCACGTCCACCCTCCCTGCGCAGCAAGCGGAACTGAGAAAAGCAGCTCAGCTGGGAAGAGTCCCTTCAGCTTCCGTGTCGGGCGTTCCCAGTGAAGAAGTCTGGAGAGAAGTAGCCCACCTGGGCTGCTCCCCCGGTGACTGACACCTCATGGCCCCTGGCTGCACGGGCTACACATAGACCAGCTGGCACCCTCGGTCGGATCCACCAGATCGGAGTTTTACAATCTGAGTTCTCAGACTGTGAAGCCTCTGCTCCTGAAGGCTTGTGGCATCTAAAGGGGAAGCCACTGTCATCACAGCACCTTCGGAAAGTGAATTCACAGAAGGCGAGCTCTGGTGCCTGTTTCCAGGGCAGGCGAGCGTGTCCCAGGCCTTGGTACTCCCTTCGCTGGCCTCCTTCCACAGGCTTTCTTTATCTGTGGGGTCAAAATTTGAGGTGTCCCATGGGGTGGCTGCTGGTGGGCACGTAGGGGGCTGGCTGCTTCCAGATGTCGCTGGAGAAGCCTATGGTGTGAAGAAGGGGTGGGCCTTCAAGTCATCGGCCTGTCCCTCCCCCAGGCAGACTAGAGCAGCTCAGCTTGGTGATAAGGTTGACCTGGCCCTGGGCTCAGCTTGACCTGGGCAGGAATGTGGAGGTGTTCTCCCAGTTGACCACCTTCAGCTGGGTTTCTGTGAGTGTGGGCACCAGCCCGACCGGCATCTCAAAGAGAATCATGCTGATGCTCCACAAGGGTGTACCTTTGCAGAGGAGTGATGTAACGTGGCAACCCAACCAGGGGGTGCACCAGACACCACTGGTGCCTGCTGTTCCAGGGTCTTCAGCCTGTCCTCACACCGACAGTTAGACACATCGTCCCAGAGGTCACTGAGCTCCATGCTGTCCTGTCAGATGTGGTTTCCTTTCTGGTAGTATTAGGAATTGTGAGTTCCACCTGCACCCCATGAAGAGGCCGAAATCTGTCCCTTTGATGTGACCATCCAGCTCTATCCAAATGTTGTCAGGCATGATGTCCCAGTAGATAAAGCCTATCTTGTGGACGCTCTCAATGGCCAACATCAACTCTATGATGAGAACCAGGCCAGGTGCTCAGGGAAGACCTCCATGTGGATCAGCAGGCTCATCACATCCCCACCAGGGACCAGTCCCTTACAAAGTACAGGCTGTATTTGTCTTGGAAGGAGTAGTAGAGTTTCACCACCCACTCGTTGTCGGCCTCAGCCAGGATGTCCCTCTCGGCCATGACACGGGCCACCTGATTCCGGGTCAGCACATCCTCGTTCCTCAGAGTCTTCATGGTGTACAGAGAGTGAGTGTCCACCTTACAAGTGCACTTCTCCAAAGGCACCAGGGTTTTGATTTTCACAAACATGGGCTTGTTCACCTTGGCCCTCTTCAGCCTGCTGTAATTAGACTCCTCCTGGTAGAGGATCTCCCTCTGTTCCTGCTCAGCTTCGCACAGTCCAGCTTTGGCCATCCCTTGCTCCAGCTGCATCCTCCGGTTCACCTTCTGCTGGTAGGTTTTTATGACATTTTCCACGTGTTGCTCCATGAATTACTTAAAGTGTGACTCTTGCTTCTCCTCCTCCTTGCTGTTTTTGCAGCCAAGGACTTAGGAAAAAGTCTGGATCTGCTTTTTGTCCTTCCCGCATCTGTGCCCCTTGGCGCCCTAGTGGCTCTTGTCTGCCCTTTTGGCGGGCTTGGCCGCCGCACCCCCTCGGAGGCTCTGCTCCATGCCCACACACAGGCCGTCCAGGTCGTACTGCTCCGGCATGCTGGGCAGCAGCAGGTGATTCGGGTAGGGGGGCAGGCACCTGCAGTGTGGGCTGCCCAACTCCAGGTCCAGCGGGTAGGGACTGCCGAGGGTGTTGGGAGCCAGCAGGGAGGGCTCGGCCTGGACGGGCACGCCGACCTGCAGTTGCTGGCTGTTGAAGGAGTAGGTCCTTCTGGGCGCGGGGCCGTCGGGCTGGCCCTTGGCTGTCAGGCCCCAGTAGACCCCAGCCTCAGGCAGCGCCTTGCTCTGGAACAAGAGGCTGTGCCGCACGCCTTAGGCCAGAGGCTCCCAGGGCACCAGCAAGAGCGTGGCCTTAGGTCGCGCCAAGTAGCGGCAGCGAGGGGCCCGCAGTGCGGGAGCCCCCGGGAAGTGCGCCCCCCACCCCCTCCACGCCCGCTGTCCCGTAGCCTTAGGAGGGGTGCACCGTCCAGGGGAAGGCTTGGCACCTCCTCCAGCGCCGCCCAGCAGGTGGTAGGGTGGGAAGGCTTCGCCCTGGAAACTGGGCCTCCGCGACATTGTCACTGGGGTTGCACCAGGCCCTTTCCTGGGGAGTCTGCTTAACGACTCGCACTGTCTGTTCGTTCCTGGGGCCCAGGCAGCCTCTTACTGATGTATTCCGGGGCCGTTTCTATACTCCTGCTGCCAGTCGGCTTGAGCGCTCTGCCGCCACCTCCTGGTCACACCCTGCATTCACCAGCCTCTGCCGCATCTGCTGGTTCCCAGCTGTGCAGGTGCCGGATTCCTTAGCATCTGATTTTCCGCAGCACTTTCTGATAAAAGCGGTGGCCTTCTGCCGTCCAGGGAGGCATCACTGCTCTGTCCCTCGGGCAACCCCTGAGTGGAAGGCCTGGGCGGCTGTCACAGCCCCTCGCGGGTCTCTTGCAGTCGCTGCCAGCTATTTCCAGAGTAAGTCATGGCAGGAAAAGTTTTTGGCCTCGTTGTTAGTCCAGTTTCCTTTCACCATAAATCTTATTAAAGTCTTAAATTATTTAAAAATATAAAAAGCTGTCAATATTGTAAATATATTTTCAAGACAACTTCCTTTTGAAAATTTGCCTTCCTTCGACTTTTGTAGTCCCTAGAGAATCTAGATGTCGCAGAGCCTCCATGGTGAAGTCCTCACTCTCCTGCAGCGTGGTCTACGCCCTCCAAGGTGTCCTGGCCCAGGGCTCTGGGCCACAGACCTGATGACAGTGGCTGGAGCTGCTGCGGGCCCCCCAGGGACAGGGGCTGCCCCGGAGGCAGCTGCTCCATCTTCCCGGGCTCTCACGCTGCGGTTCCAAAGCGCACATCTCCATAGGTTTCACAATTACAACTTTAGGATCTTGCTAATTCTTCCCACTGTGAACGCCCCCCCTCACGCTTATTCTTTACTAAGATCTATTTTAAATTAACTTTATATATATATATATATATATATATAATTAACTGTTAAGTATAGAATTCAATGAATTGTATGAAAGAGAAAAAATAAGGAAAATATTATAAAGGAAAAGATAAAAGATATAGAATAAAAAGCAACAGTCAAGAGAAGGGCTCCTGAAAATCATTGCTTCTCAAAGTGAATTTCATTTCTACATGTTGTCTTTTGGGTGCTTTATTAGTTATCACAAGTCAGGGAGAACATACAGTTTGTCCCTTTGGAACTGGCTTATTTCACTAAGTATGGTGTTTTCCAGTTTCATCCATTTTGTTGCAAATGACCGGTCTTCGTTTTCTTTTCATTTTTTTTTTACTGCCTGCTGTGTTGTATTCCATGGTGTACATATCCCATAATTTCTTTATCCAATCTTCAGCTGATGAGCATTTGGGTTGATTCCATGTCTTTGCTATTGTGAATTGCGCTACAATAAATATGTGGTACAGACAGCTCTTTCATATGCTCCATCCTCCAGTTATAAGGTCAAAAAGGAGAAATGTTGATTACCTTTTTTTGACCAGTATACACTTTATACATCTATTGAAATGTCACAATGTATCACATAAATATGCACAATTGTTAATTTTTACATAAAAAGAACTAAAGGAAATTCTTCATACTGAAAGCAAGAAACTTCTGTAGATAATTCAAATAAATATTTTTAAATAGTAATTGTAATTATATAATTATAAAATAATGGCTTAAATGTATATCCTGCTTATCCTTTTAATTTTTAAATAATATATAAAATATTTATATAATGTTTCTGTAACCTAGAACACATAGAAAGGTATTACATTTGTAACACATTTGCTAATAACCATGCAAAGACTATAGGCAGCACCAAAGCTGAACTGGAATGAGGAAATTACTAATGTATTACTAAGTTTGAAATATAAAAATATGTGTATAACAATAATGCCACAGAAAATATGAAAATAGAATACAGCTATATAATAGTAAAGTTTCTATACTATTTAAATCAAAAGTGGAATATATGTGAAGTCAGTTCTGGTAAGCTAAGCTGTATGTATATGGTGAATCTTGAGCAACTACTATAATCAAAGCTAAAATTTCAGTGAAGAGGCATTAGACAAATTAAAAATCTACATACACATTTGCTTAATGGCAAAAAAAGAGAATAATAGAACAAATATAGCATGAGAAATTTAGAGAACAAAATGTAAGATGGCAGTCACAAATCAAATTATAGAAGTAAGAATATTACTTATGAATGGATTAAACAAGTGAATAAAAGCACAAATTGCCAGACTGAACAATTAAGCATGTCTCAGCTCTATCTTTTCTGCAGGAGACACAATTTGGTTCAAAGACACAAATATATTGAAAGTAAAAGGATTGAAAATGCGCATCATGATAACAGCAACTACAAGAAAGCTGTGGTGGCTCTTCTAATATTAGATAAAATATTTTAAACTTTTCTACTAAAGTTATAAAGACTGTCTTACTTATAATTTTACATGAAAGGGCCCACCCAATCCTTGATTTATGAATCCATATGCACCTATTCACAAAGCACCAAAATCACACACAAGAAATGAAAACAGAAATGAGGAGGTAAACAGGCAATTTAATAACACTTACAGACTTCAATACCTCAACATGAAAAGTGGACAGAGCAAAGCGAAGTTCAACAAACAGAGATTTAGACACCACTATAAACTAGAGTTAACATGCCAATGGATAACAGAATATACATTCTTTTTAAGTGTACATGGAAAATTCTCTAGGATAAAGCACATGATAGGCCACAAAAGCAAATATCAATACGTATTAAAGAATAGAAATAAGAAAAAATGTCTCTGGCTATTTAAAACTAATGATAATGTATCTAATGGGAGACACAGGCTCCAAAACAATAATAATAGGAGACTTAAACATCCCACTTTCATCAATGGACAGATCAACTAGGCTAAAAATCAACACAGAAACAACAGAGCTAATCTACACTATGGACTAAATGGACCTAACTGACACCTATAGAACATCTCATCCTAAAGCTGCAGAACACGCATTCTTTTCATCAGTGCTTGAACTTTCTCTAGTACAGACCATGTGCTAGGCCATAAAGCAAGATTCAACAAATTCAAACAGCTGAAATCATACCATGTATCTCTTTGTCCACAATGGAATGAAGTTGGAAATTAACAACTTAACAGACTCTAGAAAATATGCAAAGTATGAACACTAACAAGACATTCTTGAATGAACAGTGTGCCAGGAAATAAAAAAACTCCAGGAAACAAATAAAGATGACAACACAACATATCAAAACTTGTAGTATATAGCAAAAGCAGTTTTAAGAGAGAAGTTTATAGCAATTAGTACATCAAAAAATTGCAAACACATCAAATAAATGACTAAAATTGCATTTCAAATACTAGAAAAATAAGAACAAACCAAACCAAATAGGAGGGAAAAATAATTAAAAGTGGAAAACATTTTTCAAGGTCAAGAAAATGTCTCCTCGCACTGGATTTTGGGGAAAACACATTATTAATCTTCTTTTTGTCAGATACAAATGAAACATATGACTAATACTGCTACTTATAAATGGTATCTTCATTCTCACATGTAAAACAATTAAACAGAAGCTTACATTCATGGAGGAGTTCACCTGACTCAGAGTTTCATCATCTGTCAGGAAGCGGTATATTTGGATGCCATTGCTGCTCAACTCACTCATAATCCTACTCTTAAGCTTCGGTAAATTACTCTTAGAAATCGTATCTGCTTTGGCAATCAATGGTATAATGTTCACCTATTAAGAAGAAAGACAAATTTCACCTCTAATGATTTGTTGTTTATCTTGTAGTTTTCAAAAAGCCTCACAACCTCTGAGAATAAATTTGTATAACTAGATGATCTCTGGTTATCATATCTTCCTTCCAAATATTTTTCAAAAATCATTAGTACCTTTTAATATTCATCTTTTATAATTTGTTTAGAATGTTGTTTTTCTCCTAAAAGTCTTTCACTTCCAACACATTTTGAGTTAGTAAAATGTAAGCTATTCTATGAAACAGACCATCTATTTCATTATCAATTTTATTTCTTATTAGACTGAGTGACAAAAGTCAGAATTAGAAACCTTTCAACACAATTGTGGAAGAGGATTTTTATGTCATAGTTCTCAGTCATGCACAGCACCTTCTCCATAAAGACATCCTAATCAGGGTCTCATCTTCACCTATCTGTGCTCAACCTAAATGTCCTTGCAGACAGAGGCCAGCATTGTGGTACAATGGGTTAAGCTGATGCAGACATCCCATACTGGAGCACTGGTCCAGGCTGCTCTGCTTCCCATCCAGCTCCCAGACAGTCTGCCTGGGGAAGCAGCAGAGAACAGTCCAAGTACCTGGGCCCCTGCCACCCATGTGAGAGACCTGGAAGAAATTCTGGGCTCCTGGCTTCTTCCTGGCTCAGTCCTGGTCGTTGCAGCCATTTGGGGAGTGAACCAGTGGATAGAAGTGTTCTCTTTCTTCCTGTCAAATAAATATAAATGTCCTCAAAGAGAGGCCAGCACTGTGGTGTAGCAGGTAGCCTCCACCTGTGGGGCCAGCATCCCATACAGGTGCTGGTGCTTGTCCTGGCTGCTCTACTTCTGATCCAGCTCCCTGCTAATGTGCCTGGGAAAGCAGCAGAAGATGGTCCAAATCCTTGGGCCCCTGCACCCACATGGAAGACTTGGAAGAAGCTCCTGGCTCCTAGCCTTGGACTGGCCCAGATCTGCCAATTTGGAGAGTGAACCAGGAAATGGAAGATCTGTGTGTGTGTGTGTGTGTGTGTGTGTGTGTCTGTAACTCTGCCTTGCAAATAAATAAATAAATCTTTTTGGAAAATGTTCTTGAAGATGGATTTGCTTGTTTCCCAGAGACCACATAAATGTAATAGACTTTTTTGGTTACCATAGTTTAATGACTGAGTGTGAATGTGCGTGTGTATCTGTGTGTGTGTGTGTATGTGTGTGTGAATGTACATGCGTGTGTATGTAGGTGTATGAGTATGTATGTGTATATGTATGTGTGTGTGTGTGTGTGAAGGGCACCTTTCTAACAAGTATGTTAACTGGAATTTGCAAAAATGAATTATTTTCACATTTAAAGTTGAATATTTACATATTTTAGGTTGAAGTTTTACAAATAAGCTTTTTTCCAGTTCTACTATATGATCATTCTCACATCTGTGAATTTATACTGAAATAGCTAAACTTGTAGAAAGTAAAAATGTCCAAAATTCTAAAATATGCTTTACTACTGTTATATTAAAATCATAGCTTCACAATATCAAAATGTGGCAAACAGACATCAGTGTTATTGGATAATTTTTGTTTTAGATTTCTCAAATCACTTTTTAAAAAACACTGAGCAAATACAAGGCTTCAAAATTAAAACATAGTTGTTCAAAATTTTGTCAGAATGGGCCATCAAAGAAGGTACCTTTCTCTGAAGGGAGGAGAGAACTTTCACTTTGATTATGGCCTTGTCTAAATAAGGTTGGAGTTTGTGAACTCAAGAGGCTTCCATAGCCTTGCCAGCTCATGACAAGAGCCTCAAATGATTACTGACTCATAAATAAAAGTGTCAATTATTGCTGGTGCCGCAGCTCACTAGGCTAATCCTCCACCTGCGGTGCCGGCACCCCAGGTTCTAGTCCCAGGTGGGGCACCGGATTCTGTCCCAGTTGCTCCTCTTCCAGTCCAGCTCTCTTCTGTGGCCCGGGAGGGCAGTGGAGGATGGTCCAAGTGCTTGGGCCCTGCACCCACATGGGAGACCAGGAGGAAGCACCTGGCTCCTGGCTTCAGATTGGTGCAGTGTGCCGGCCATAGGGGCCATTTTGGGGGTGAACCAACAGAAGGAAGACCTTTCTCTCTGTATCTCTCTCTCTCACTGTCTAACTGCCTGTCAAGAAAAAAAAAGTGTCAATTATTAAATCAACAACAGGCATCACTGTGTACTTACACCCCATGTAGCATCTCTGTCCTTAATGTGTTGTACTATTTGAATTAACAGTAAAACTGGTCTTCAAACAGTACTTTATACTTTGTGTGTCTATGTGGGTGCAACTGTTGAAATCTTTACTTAGTATATACTGAGTTGATCTTCTGTATATAAAGATAATTAAAAATGACTCTTAATGGTAATTTCCGGATCCAAGATGGCTTAATAGGGAAAAGATGTGCTGACTTTGACCATAGGAATATAATAGAAGAAAAGGGTGGAACTGCATTCTGCAGGGGACAGTTGGAGAGAGGTGTGCAGTGGAAATTCTACAGAAAGCAGAGAGACACCATGGAGCAGCGAGGATGATACAATCACACAGCAGTGGCAGGGCATCACCAGCAACTCACACAGCTGCTGGCTGGAGGGGACACCATCTATCTGCATCCAGGTGCCCAGTGACCAGCAGGGAAGAGGAGACACCTCAGCAAAGCAGGTAGAGACTGCTGCAGCCTGCACATGACAGGGAGTTTACAGAGGGATAGATCCATGGTCCACACTGACTTTGAGTCTGGCATGAACAATTGGCAGGGAGCAGGGCACCCACTTAGGCCTGTGAAGTGCTCCCCTCCCATCACTCTACCAAGGCACCCAGACTCATTTTGCCGAGGCAGGGCAGCACCATCTTCTATCCAGCAGACATCTGGCTCTGGGAAAGCAGCCGCTCCCTCCACAGCCTGGGGAGGCTCACACTGCTAAGAGTGGACCCCCCACACCCTGTGACTGTGGGAGCTATGTGGGCTGTGACTGGGAATTCTGTGACTGTTGGATAGGGCGTGGGTGTGGTTGTGTAATCACGTGTCTGGCTTCAGAGGTTCAGAGTTCCCTGAGTGCTTTGGGTGGGTTATTGCAGAGGGTACTTCATGCACCTGAGTGGGTGAGGTGCATACCAACTGTGGGCTCACATTGAACAATTGGTTCTCTTGGTAGAGAGAAGCTGAGGCTGTGATCATGACAGCCAAAGTGATCATACCCACCCTCTGCTGACAACAGAGATCTACCATGCCCAACACGGGTGTCACCCCAGACTCTTACTCCACACTAGAGTGCTAACCAGGGCTCCATGGCCACACCCAGCACACGCTTCTGGATATCCACTGATGGCATAGACACTCCACTAAGCCACAGTGGTATATTTCAAAGACAAAAGCCCTCAGAGGAGAAAACCAAGTATTTCCACAAATGTCTAAAAATAAACGGAGAAATACAACAAACATGAACATACATCACCTCACCACAGTTAGCACAGCTATCATCCAAAAATCAAAAAATAGGCCAGTGCCGCGGCTTACTTGGCTAATCCTCCACCTGCAGCAAAGGCACACCGGGTTCTAGTCTCAGTTAGGGCACTGGATTCTGTCCCAGTTGCTCCTCTTCCAGTCCAGCTCTCTGCTGTGGCCCAGGAAGGCAGTGGAGGATGGCCCAAGTCCTTGGGCCCTGCACCCGCATGGGAGACCAGGAGGAATCATCTCACTCCTGGCTTCCGATCTGCGCAGCACCGGCCACAGCGGCCATTTGGGGGGTGAATCAATGGAAGGAAGACCTTTCTCTCTGCCTCTCTCTCTCTCACTGTCTAACTCTGCCTGTCAAAAAAAAAAATGCTTGTGATGATATGAAGGAAAAGGTTCCCTAATTCAATATTGGTGGGAATGTGAACTAGTACAAACATTATGGAAGACAGTATGGAGATTCCTCAGAAATCTGAAAATAGATCTACAATACAACCCAGCCACTCCACTTCTGGGAATTGACCCAAAGGGAATGAAATCATCATACAAAAGAGTTATCTTTACTCCTATGATTCTAGCAGTTCAACTGACAATAGCTAAGATATGGAATCAACCCTAGACTGAAGAATGGATAAAAAGAATTTGGTATATATATATATATATATATATATATAATATCACTCAGCCATAAAACAGTATGAAATTCTGTCTTTTGCCACAAAATGGATGCAACTGGAGAACATTACGCTTACTGAAATACACAAAAACTCAAAATATACATTTTCCCTGACTTGTGGTAACTAATATACACAGTATAAAAAAATAATGTTTTGAGTGAAACTGACATTTTTAGATTTGATTATTGTTTATAGCCCTTGTCCTTATTCCTAAGGGACAGTGGTTTTTCTACTTACTACTTGTCTTCACTACAAAGCAACAATAATAGTATGTATATTCATTGATTTCACTTGTAAACCATCAAACTGGGAGAATCCTGTGGCAATTGGTGAAAAGTACTGGTGGGAATACCTAATTCCAACGATCACTCTAGAATTACTGGATGAACTGACACATGAGTTTCCACAAATACAGGGGGAAATGCAGGGCAAGCTGAAAAGGATTGAGACTGGAGTGTTAATAAGGCAGATAAGAAGCCAAAAGTAAGATGGACAAGTATTAGAGGCACTGCTTCTGGGTTCATCTTTGGTCCAGAATTCCATTTTAATAGATGGCATCACTGATGTGTTACAAACTGAAGTTTTAGAAAAGCACCTACATCATCCTTCCCTGAACAATACCTCTAAAACAAGGAAATACTTTCAATCAAAACAGCTACATGGCCGGTGCCGCGGCTCACTAGGCGAATTCTCCGCCTTGCGGCACCGGCACACCGGGTTCTAGTCCCGGTCGGGGCACTGGATTCTGTCCCGGTTGCCCCTCTTCCAGGCCAGCTCTCTGCTGTGGCCAGGGAGTACAGTGGAGAATGGCCCAAGTGCTTGGGCCCTGCACCCCCCGGGAGACCAGGATAAGTACCTGGCTCCTGCCTTCGGATCGGATCAGCGCGGTGCGCCAGCCTCGGTGGCCATTGGAGGGTGAACCAACGGCAAAGGAAGACCTTTCTCTCTGTCTCTCTCTCTCACTGTCCACTCTGCCTGTCCAAAAAAAAGCTACATATCTATTTCTTAATGTTTGTTTGTTTGTTTTTATCTACCTGAAAAGCAGGGAAAGAGGTGGTATAAAAATCATCCATCTGTTGGTTCAGCCCCAAAATTCCAGCAACAGCTGGAGTTGAGCCATGTGAACCCAAAACCCCATCTGAGTCTCCCATATGGGTGGTAGGGGCCCAAGCACTTGAACCATCATTTGCTGCCTCCCAGGATGCATTGTGACAAGTTAGGTAAGAAGCAGATTACCTGGAATTTGAACCAGCACCTGATGTGGGCTGCAGGGGTTCAAGTGGCAGTTTAGCTTGCTGTGTCACAATACCTACCGGTGGTCATATATCTAATATCTTGTCAATGTTAGCAACAGGAAGACTAAGTGCCTCATATGATTTGTCATCACAATGAGAATGTCATCAACATGAGTCAGCATGGGTAGAACAGACATATTCACCTACACAAGAGAAATCTTTGTCTGCAGCAAGTGTAACATTGACTTCCAACAGGGATCTGATAAAACATCACAGACCTGGAACATTTTCTGACCATCTTCTGTTAAGCAAAATACACTCATGCAGCAGACAGCAGCAAACACCATGGCCCAATTTCTGCTATTCCTGGGATAATAAGTGTCTTTAGGTAAATACAGAGACAAACAAGGTTTGGGCCAGCACTGTGGCGCCATGGGTTAACACCCTGGCTTGAAGCATTAGCACCGCATATGGGTGCCGATTCGAGACCCGGCTGCTCCACTTCCAATCCAGCTCTCTGCTATGGCCTGGGAAAGCAGTAGAAGATGGTCCAAGTCCTTGGGCCCCTGCACCCACATGGGAGACCTGGAAGAACCTCCTGGCTCCCGCCTTCATTCAGTGCAGCTCCAGTCATTGCAGCCACCTGGGGAGTGAACCATCAGATGGAAGACCTCTCTCTGTCTCTGCTTCTCCTCCCTCTATGTAACTCTGACTTTTGAAAAAACAAATAAATCTTAAAAAAAAAAAAAAGGTAGGCTCTCTAGGCATTGACATGTGGGAACATGATATCACCACAAAGTAGAAGAGCAAGACAGACACATATACAGTCACGGGCATGCAGTCAGTAGCAATTCTGCAACTTCTCCTATTGAAATGAAAATTCCCATCACAAATACAGAAAAATACATGACATATAAATGGAAGAGTGGATCACTGAAATTATTCCAAGTTCTGAAAGGAAAGTACTGTCAACCAAGGATAGTTTCTCAAGTGAAACTATCTTTCATAAGTGAAGGAGAAACAAAAGCATGCACAGACAAGAAAAATTTAAGGAATTCATCACCACCATGCCAGGCTTCCAGAAGATGCTTAATGAACTCCTTCATACAAAAACAATGAAATAAACCTACCATTTAGAAGGACAATGCCCACAAAAAAAGAAAAAAGGATAATCAAAATAAGCAGAAGCAACTTTAAATTATAGGACTAAGTCATTACATATTATCAAGAACTTTAAATGTAAATGATCTAAATTCCCCAATTAAAAGAACCAGACTGGCTGAATGGATAAAAGAAAAAGGCTCAACAATATGCTGCCCACAAAAATTTGCTTCTCCAGAAAAGACACACAGAGACTGAAAGTAAAAGGATGAAAAAATACACTACATCCAGGCAGAAACCAAAAGCTTTTTGAACGAGAGTGGCTATAAATATCCCAAATTAGACTTTAATGTAAAAACAGACACAACTGGTGACCATATAATGATCAATAGGTCAACACAACAAGAAAATACAACGGTTTTAGATGAACATATACTTAAAACTAGATTGCCCAAACATTAATAGACCAAAAGGGATAAATAAGCTCTAGTACAACAATGGTAGCAGAATTCCACATTCCACTTTCATCTATGAACAGAACATCCAGACAAACATATCAACAAAAACATATTAGAGCTTAGCTATATAATGATACAGGACCAATGAACACATCAGATACTTAGAGAACGTCCCATCAAACAGGTACAAAATGCACAATCTTTTCATCAGTACATGGAACATTCTGTAGTACAGACATACATTATGGCACAAAGCCAGCCTCATCAGATTAAAAAAAAAGGCAAAATAATATCATGTATAATTTCTTACCATAATGGAATAAAACTAGGAATCAGCAATAAAAGAAACTCTAGTAATTTCACAAATATGTGGAAACTGACAATATGCTTCTCAATGAACAGCAGGTCACTGAAGAAACCAAAAGGAATTCCTTGAAACAGATAAAAATAGAAACACAACATACCAAAACTTCTGGGATACAGCAAAAGCAATATGAGAAGGGACATTTTTAACAAGAAGTATACATATAAAAAATAGAATAGCAATTAAACACACTAACTATGCATCTCAAACATCTAGAAAAACAGTAACAAAAATGAGAAGGAAAGAAATAGAGCAGAATAAATGAAGTAAAAACTTAAAATGCAGTATAAAAGATGGATAAGATAAGAGTTTTTTTTTTTTTTTTTTTTTTTTGACAGGTAGAGTTATAGACAGTGAGAGAGAGAAACAGAGTGAACCATTTTGGTTCACTCCCCAAATGGACGCTACAGCCGGAGCTGTGCCGATCCGAAGCCAGGAGCCGGGTGCTTCCTTCTGGTCTCCCATGCTGGTGCAGGGGCCCAAGCACTTGGGCCATCCTACACTGCCCTCCTGGGTCACAGCAGAGAACTGGACAGGAAGAGGAGCAACTGGGACTAGAACCCGGTGCCCATATGGGGTGCCAGCACCGCAGGCGGAAGATTAACCAAGTGAGCCATGGCGCCAGCCCCAAGAGTTGGTTCTCTGACATAAGTAAAACTGACAAACTTTAGCTGCAGTAAACAAAGGAAAAAAGAAGATACAAATAAGTAAAACCAGATGTGAAAAAGTAGATGGGGCCGGCACCATGGCTCAATAGGTTAATCCTCTGCCTGCAGCGCCAGCACCCCGGGGTTCTAGTCCCAGTCGGGGCACCGGATTCTGTCCTGGTTGCTCCTCTTCCAGTCCAGGTCTCTGCTATGGCCCAGGAGTGCAGTGGAGGATGGCCCAAGTCTTTGGGTCCTGCACCCACATGGGAGACCAGGAGAAGCACCTGGATCCTGGCTTCAGATCAGCGTGGTGTGCCAGCCGCAGCAGCCATTGTGGGGTGAACCAACAAAAAAGGAAGACTTTTCTCTCTGTCTCTCTCACTGTCCACTCTGCCTTTCAAAAAAAAAAAAAAAAGTAGATGGGCCAACTGATAGAACAGAAATACAAGGATCATTAGAGATTACTATAACAATAATATACCAACAAACTGGAAAACATAGAAGAAATGCACATATCTCTGGATACAAATAACCTACCAATATTTAACCATGAAAATATAGAAAACACAAACAAATGAGTAATTAAATCAAGTCAGTAATTAAAAGTTTCTAATCTAAGGAGAGCCAAGGACCACATGGGTCTCTTCACTGCTCAATTCTACCCAACTTTTAGGGAAAACTAACACCAATTCTTCTCAAAACTGAAACATGAAACTCTCCAAACTCAATCTACGAATTCAGCATTACCTTGATTCCCCAAGCAGAAAAGCACACAACAAATAAAATAGATAACAATACGCCTGATGAGCATAGATGCAAAAGCTTTCAACAAAATGCCAGCAAATCAAATCCAACAAAACATCAAAAAGATCATACATCATAATCAACTGGGATTTATCCCATGAAAACTGGGATGGTTCACATTCCAGTCAGTAAATGTACATTATAATGGCCCTAATCAGAAAGACAGAAAATAACAAATGCTGATAAGGATGTGACCAACATGAAGCTTTCTTCTTGTTAATGGTCATTAACATTTGAAGTTTCTGTATTAAAAATGACCCATCCCACTTCAAACCACGTTTATGTTAATACAGTAAAGAGAAAGATTACAAATGATTAACCATCCTAAAAATGAGATAGTAGTATTTTAATAAAACAAAACTTCACAAAGGCTCAGTAGAACTACGGAACTAATTTTATCCATTGATTTGGATTGGAAACTGGGACATACTTATGAATTCTGTGACTTTATGGTTTCATGGGTAGTGTAAGACTTCCAGCCTTACAGGAAACACAAGCCTGGGATAGGCCACTGTCCTGACTCAGCCAACAGGCAACTAAGCCCACTTTTCAATAATTGCATTTTTTTACATTCCACAGGGGTTTGTATACGTTTCTGGCGGACATGCAATAATTTCACATATTTACGGGCTACGCTGATTTCAGGATATTGATCCTGCAGGTACGGGCCTCTTTTCTCTTTATCATTACCTGATTATGTTTGATCTTTTGAGCTCCTGTCCTGTAGTTCTCGGGCCTCCGCGTCGGCGCCCAGCAACTTGCGGGCGGCCTCCCGAGACCCGCGTTGCCGCTGCCCGCCCTAGCCCTGCCGGTCGCCCCGGGCCCGCCGCCGGGGCTGCCCCTGCTGTGGCTTCGCGACCTCCGGGCGCCCCGCTTCCCGGCACCAAGAGCGAGCGCCCCGCGCGGAGAGGGCGCGGACGCCACCTGGAACGCCCGGGAGCCAAGGCGGGCGCCGCCTGCCGCGGTCCTCACTCGGAGGACGCGCTGTGCCGCAGCCTCCCGGCCCGAGCTCCAGCTTCCGCGTCCTTGACCTTTCTGCCTGGGCCGCCGGCCATGCCCCGGGGGTCCTGTGGCACTTCGGCCTGGGACCCTCTGCACGCCGGGACGCCGCGTGCCCAAGCGTTCCCAACGCGGGGCGCAGGCGGTTGGCGCGCGGGGTGCGGGCCCGGGCGGGCGTCGCCCGTGAGGAGGGATGAGCCTCCTTCTCCATGGGCCGCCACCGCCGCCCTCCCGCTGCGGGACCCCACGGGAACCGTTTCCAGTCCGGCTGCGCCTGGCTGAGGGGCTCCTGCGGGGGAAATTTCTGAGCGAGTGAGCGGGAGCTCCGGGAACCCTTGGCTCTGAGGCAAAGCCTGGCCTCACTTTCAGCCGCCAACGCGCGTCCACCCGCAGCCGAGATGCGCCACAAACAGACCCGCCCTGGGACTCACCCAGAGACACCCTGGGGCTCACCGGCAAGTGGCCCCTCACCCTCGTCCTCAGCCTCCCGCCCGCACCGCGCCCCGCAAGTACTTTCACATGCCAAGGCAGACGCGCACGCACATTCCAGCCCTGACACTCCTTAACCTTAACCTCATTCCTCTCTGGGATCCCCCGCATTTCTACAAAGCCGTGGGCAGCCCCTCCCAGGGCCACCCGCAGCTTCCTCCTTTGTTTCCTAACCCCATGGGACAGCCTGGGAAAGCGGGGGTTAGTGGGCTGTTGTGTGTCTTTTCCTTAAATGGGAGAGAAAAAATTGTCGCACTGGTCACCAAGAGAGATTTGTTGCTGTAGACTCAGAAAACTAATGTAAGACACACTACCTATTGTGGATCTTCTCCGTAATATCCTCAAATGTGTACAAAGTATTAATTTTTTTAAAAACTTACTAATTTGAAAGGGAAAGAGAGAATCTCCCATCGCTGGTTCACTCCCTCAATATGGCTAGAATATCCACGGCTGGCCAGGCTGAAGCCAGGAGCCCAGAACTCCCACCTGAATCCCCATGTGCCTGGAAGACACTAACATATTTAAACTATCATCTGTTGCTTCCCAGACAGGGCAGCAGAGAGGTAGATCAGAAGCAGAGTGGCCAGGGCTCCAACCTGCACTCAGGTATGAGACGCAGGTATCTTAAGCCTCGACTTAACCCACTGTGACACAATGCCCACCCTTATTAAGCCTATTGCCCCGAGTCCTAACCCTGTATTTCAAAAACATTTTCCAACAAAGTGACTAAAGTACTAAGGTGATATTCATTTTCTTTTCTTAATAACTATTTAAAGCAATGCACCACTTGCGCCTGCCTTTGCATCAAGCCTTTTTCTACTATATGCCTAGTCCTGTCATAAGTTTCACACAAATCGTTTCTATATTTAAGTTATAATGAATATTTTTAAACGCTTGTCTAACTGGTGAGATGTTTGTGAATGTTTAAGAGGAAAAACGCTGACTCGCAGCTTTTGCTCACATACAGGTTAACACTGGCCTGTAGTTGATTTCAAGCCACCTGCATAATGCCCTGGAATGCAGAGCTCTCACTAAGTGCTAAGTGCTAGGTGCCAGCCAGCTTAGGAGCACCACTGGAGCTGGGTCATCCCCCACAAAGCAATATGTGAACCACATTTTGATTCAAAATCTAACTCTAAGTAGGATACTCACATTCATGCATCGAGAAAGAAAACCAATCTGAAAATATTGCTATGCCATCATTTATTTCCCTCATTCAAGACAGTTTAAATATGGCACACGACTATAAAAAGTCTCCACAATAGCAAGAGAAACAAGGAAATAAACGAGAACATTAAAAACTACATTGCATTACTGCCGTCATTGTTTAATTCAAAATATAAGGAGAGTCCGATGTGGTGGCAGGGTGGGTTAAACCAGCACCACTGGGGATGCCTGCATTCCATATCGGAGTGCCTGGTTCGAATCCCAGCTCATCTGCTCCTAATCCAGCTCCCTGCCAGTGCACCTGAGGAGCAGCAGAAGGCAGCTCAGATACTTGAGTCCCTCCCACTCACACAGGGACTGCATGGAGCTCTTGGCCACTGTCGTTGGCCTGGTCCAGTCTCAGCTGTTGCAGCCATTTGAGGAGTGAATCAGGGTAGGGAATCTCTCTCTCTCTGTCTTTCAAATAAATAAATCTTTTAAAAATAGGAAATCAGACAACAAGGTAGAAAACTATCAATTTTATAAGAAGAGAATGTTACTTAATAGGAAAGAATTAAAACATGGAAGGAAATGCACCAATCACCTTAGAAGAATATTACAAATTCATCTATGGAAAAATAAGGAAAACTCTTAAAATAAGAAAACACCAACCTGGCTTGTTTGTTTATTTGATCTCCATATCCCACTGTTTTCACAACAGTCAATTTCAATTGAACATTGCTCTCCTGCAGCTCATGCGTCTGAATTTTAAGTCCAACATTTGGGTAAAAATGTGAGGATTTGTTATCTCTCAAATGGGCATTAAACAATGTTTCAATCAGCGTTGACTTTCCAATTCCAGTCTCCCCTGTAATAAACATGGCTGGATCACCACAGGAGCAGAAGAAGGCTGAGAAGTAACACTAGATCTCTACAGTGCTTTAAAGGGCCCCCAAATCTAAAAAAGTTTAACTCATAGATTAGTGTAGAATGATGGTTACCAGATGCTAGAGAGTGGGGATGAAGTAGGGACATAAATTTTCAAATAAATAAGGAGAATAAGTTGTATAACAGGAGCACCAGAATCAGTAATAATGTACTTTATATTGTAAAAGAACTAAAAGAGTAAAATCTAAATGTCTCACCATAAAAAAAATGACAGGGAAAGGAGGCGATGAGTATGCTAATTATCTTAATTTAATAAGTCTACATTATAAACACAGATCAAAACATTGTTGTAGCTAATAAGTGTATACAGTTAAGATCTGTTCGCTGGAAAATATTATTTTAAAAAATAAATAAATTTTGAGTCCCAAATACATCAGAGACTAGGATGTCCTTGAAAACATACATGCTGACCAGGACTCCCTCAGTCATTAAGGAGGTGTAGAAAGAAATTGGACACTAAGTTGCAACAGACTTTGAACACCACTGAGGTGTTTAAATTCAAATGTATTTAAATAATATAACTAAGAAGATGAAACCCAATATAAGCATTAAGACATGGTCTTAAACTAACAGCACCAATGTGACAGGGCTTAAGATAAATTGAAATGTCTTTGTCTCTCTCTCTCACTGTCTATAATTCTATCTGTCAAAATAAATAAAAAAAGAAAAATTGAAATGAACATAACGTTGAGAAATTCAGATGAGATGTTTGGCACTTACCCACACAGAGAATATTAAAAGAGAATCCTTGATGGAGAGCCCTGTTTACCAACTGGTAGGGCAAACATTCAAAACCAAAATGGCCAAGTGTGGTTAAGCAACGGATATTCTCTTCTTTTTGCTTAAAGGAAAGAAAGGGAAAAGGTTGTATTAGAATAGGAGTTGAAGTCATTTGAAAAGACAATGATAATATGCCAAAGAAATTAGAGTTATCATACCTCAGACAAGATGCAAATGTAGTAAGCACAGTTATACAAAAAGAAGTTTTGGGATCAGATATATACATTATGTGATCCTTGTTTCTAAACAAAAATGAATTGGTCTCATCACATTCAAAGAGATTCTGTTACTAGCATTTTTAAAATTATTTTTAAGGAATACAAATTTCACAAGTATAACTTTAGGAATATAGTTATTATTCCCACCATACCTACCCTTCCAGCCACACTCCCACCCCTCCTCCTTCTCCCTCTCCCATTCACATTCCCATTCTCCATTAAGATTCATTTTCAATTAACTTTGTACACAGAAGATCAACTCTATACTAAATAAATATTTCAATAATTTGCACACATACACACACAAAGAACTGTTTGAGAACTGGTTTTACACTTAAGTCGCATAGGCCAGTGCCACAGCTCACTAGGCTAATCCTCTGCCTGCGGCGCCGGCACCCCAGGTTCTAGTCCCAGTTGGGGCACTGGATTCTGTCCCAGTTGCTCTTCTTCCAGTCCAGCTCTCTGCTGTGGCCCAGGAAGGCAGTGGAGGATGGCCCAAGTGCTTGGGCCCTGCCCAAACGTGGAAGACCGGGAGGAAGCACCTGGCTCCTGCCTTCAGATCGGCACAGTGCAGTGCCCATTTGGGGGTGAACCAACGGAAGGAAGGCCTTTCTCTCTCTCTCTCTCTCTCTCTCTCTCTCTCTCTCTCCCCCACTAACTCTGCCTGTCAAAAAAAAAAAAAAAGAAAGAAAGAAAGAAAGAGAAAGAAAGAAAGAAACTGTTAAGTCTCATAACTCACTGAGAACAGAGGTTCTGCATGGGGAGTAAGTGCACAAGGATTTGGGCCATCTTCCACTACATTCCCAGGCCATAGCACAGAGCTGAATTGGAAGTGAAGTAGCCAGGACTTGAACCAGCACCCATATAGGAAGCCAGAACTGCAGGTGGTGGCTTCACCTGCAACACCACAGTGCCAGCCTGTACCCACTCTTGATTCCACCTTCCTGCTAATGAGCCCCTTAGGAGTCAGCAGGTGATATCCCAAGTAGTGGGGTCCCTGTCACCCATGTGAGAGACCAGGGTTGAGTTCTGAGCTTCTGACTTCACCCTGATCCAATTCCATCTGTTGTGGGCATTTGGGGAGTGAACCAACAGAAGAGAGGAACCCCCCCTTTCAAAGATATAAATTATAAAAATGAAGCATAAAAGAGGTAAACATTAAGGAAATACTATAAGAAATTCCAGAGTATTGCTCTACAACAATAAACTACTCTTCAGTTAAAAAAAATTTTTAAAAAAAGAAAAGATGGGCATGGTGTTGTGTCAAAGCAGGTAAAGCTGCCACCTGCAACTGGTGCCATATGGGCACCAGTTCAAGTCCCTGCTGTTCCACTTCCACTCCAGATCCCTGTTAATGTGCCTGGGAAAGCAGCAGAAGATGGCCCAAGTGCTTAGGCCCCTACACCCATGTGAGAGACCTGGAAGAAGCTCCTGGCTCCTGGCTCCTGGCTCCTGGCTCCTGGCTCCTGGCTCCTGGCTCCTGCCTGGCCCAGCCTTGGCCATTGTGGCCATTTGGGAAGTGAACCAGTGGATAGAAGACCTTTCTCTCTCTTTCTGTCTCTCCCTCTCTGTAATTATGCTTTTCAAATAAATAAATTAAATCTTTAAAAAAAGAAAACTCTTTCATTCTGTTTCAATGTGTTAATATATTGAGAAAACCCAGTGAATGATAACACATGTGAAGTAACCAAAATCAATTTGAAATTTTCTTAAAAAGCAAGTAATTTTGCTTCAAATTTGTTATAGACCATGAGAATTTGTGCTATAATAAATTATTAACTGAAACAACTACCCGCAACACCACTCTAAAAAACTAGAAATCCATCAATATTACACATAAAACTGATCATAGATTTTTTAAAAGGTGAAAAAGTAATTCAAAAAAAGCTTAACAATAGATATTAATTTTACCCCTGAAAATCTTTTCCAAGCACCTAGAAAGTTTTGAAAAAGCTTGATACAGACATATTCACTGTAGCTCTTGACTTCACATCCAAATATCTGACTTCCTGAAATAGGTGAATACCCAATTAATGTTGGTATATTCGCTCACACAATGAGAGGGTCTTGGGTCATGAAAGGTATTTATGAAGAATGCTTTAAGGAATTGGGAAATACATAGAAATATAAAGTAAAAGGAATCAAGATACAAAGTTGTGAATATCTGCCTAACTTCTGGTAATATCTGAGGAACTTGGAGCATCCCATGTCTTCTCACAGTAATGATAGAAACAAGTGTTTGAAGGCACTGGATGGGAGATAGAAGCAGGCAGAAACAGGAAGGGGTTCAAACCCTGTAAGTAAGAGAAGTATACTGAGTGGAATCACATTTATCTACATAGTCTCCTGTGGCCAGTCACTAGAGAAGATGTGTTTGGGGCATAGGGCACAGAGAGAGACAATCGTAGACCAGGAAGTAGAAAGTCAGAGACTAGAGTGTCAAAATTCTCTTAGGCAATGCAATAGAAAGGAGTCTCAGATATTCAAACTTAAAAACTCCTGGTTGACCTTTGAATTCTGTGTGTTCTCAGTGGCAATTTAAAGAAGAGCTAGCATTCTGAAAGTGTCAAACAAATATTTCAGCAGTGGTCCTGGGGAGATAGAGTTTGGAGATTAGTTTTATCCCAAGTTATGGTTAATATACTGGGTTTCCATTTAAACCCTGTAAAGGGCATGTAATAGGAGTAAAGGTGGTGGACCCAGTCAAAGGGTTACTCTAAATTAGAAAGTTCTAACTGGAACTGGAATTGTATTGTAGTGGTTAAAGCCACCACCTTCAATGCCAGCATCCCATATGGATGCTGCCAGCTACCCCACTTCTGATCCAGCTCCCTGCTAGTACCCTGGGAAAAATCAGCAGAAGATGGTCCACATGTTTGAGCCCCTGCTATCCATATGGGGGACCTGAGAGAAACTCCTGGCTCCTGGCTTTGGCCTGGCCCAGTCTCAGCCACTGTAGACACCTGGGGAGTGAGCCAGTGAATGGAAGATCTGTCTCTCTCTCTATCTTTTATTAAAACTGAAGAAACTATAGCGAGACTATACTAAGGTGCCCAACTGGATCCAAAACCAACATAGCCTGCCAAACCAACACCTTATCACCTATCTTTGAAATATTCCACTCAGATAAAAAGAAAAAGAAAAAAAATAGACAACCTCCAAGTTCTGGGAATGCCATTAAATTATCAAATATATGAGTTTGGGGATACCTGAAAACAAAAGAGAGAAAGGAGTAGAAATAACCATGCAAAAAAAAAAAATCATAGCTGATAATGGCCCCCATCTTGGGGAAGATACAAACATCCAGGTATGTGATGCCCCAAATAGACATGGCCAGAAAAGATCCTCCTCGTGACATATTATAGTCAAATGACCAAAAATACAAAGCAAAGAGAATTTTAAAAACTGCCTGAGAAAACTGCCAACTCATGTTTAAAGGACACTGTATTAGAATAAACAGAAGTTTCTTCAGCAGAAACCTTCCAGGCCCTCAGGGAATGGAATGACACATCCCAAGTTCTGAAAGAAGAAAACTTCCAAACAAGAATAATATATCCAGAGACTTCCTCCATAAGTGAAAGAGAAAGACTTTGCATGAAAAAAACAGAACCTTTATCACCACCAGACCACCCTTACAAAGGCTGCTTCAGGGAATCATGCAGACACAAAGGGAAGAAAACTACCATCATGAAAACATGAACGTGTAAACCCCACAAGAAGTAGAAAATAATCAACAGAATAGGGATTGCTAGAAGGGGGGAAGTACCAAAATACAGTTAGATATGAGGAATAAATTCTAGTGTTCTATATTACTGTAGTATTTGAAATATTTAGAACCTCTTATAGGTCTTATAAAGAACTAGAAGAGAAGAACTTGTTGACTGCAAGGACAAAGAAATGATAACTGCATCAGGAGGTGGCAATGCTGCTTACCCTGATTTTATCACCAAAATCATATAAATACATCAGATTATCACACAATATCCCATAAGTGTATGAGGCATGATTACTCAATTATAAATTTTAAAAAGAGAATGTTCACTACTAAACTGAAAATACAACCAGTAAGAAATAAGTAGAATACATTCAGTTCCTTACTGATTGTTCTCTTAGAAGATGGAGTTTCATAACAATGGAAAATGCTGAGCTCTTCTCATTTAGGAAAAGAACATGCTGGAGATTTCTGGATATACTCTGGAGATTATGTTAATGGAGCAACGAGGGATTCAAACACTCCTCTGTCCTCTCTGGCCTAGATTCCTTTCTCTTATTTTTAAAACTGTAGCCCAGGGAGATACCTGATAAAGTGTTTCCTGTGCCCACTGTCTTATCAGGAAGGAGCAGAAACCTTGGCCTCATCAGCACTCAGTTCTCACCCACAGAGTGATTGTTAGAGCGAGCAGGAGTTTCAATAGTGTCACTATCATTATTTGATAATAGCTTCTGGTGGATCAAAGTTCTTTCACATAAATGCCAGTATCCATGTGGAAAACATACATATTTCAAATTCTAATGACTTGGAATTTGTGAACATTCAAATATTGCTCTTAAATTTGCCTTTGTAGCATCTACAAATAAAGCAAAATTTTTTAAAGATTTATTTTTTATTTATTTGAAAGAGTTACAGAGAGAGAAAGGGGGAGAGAGAGAGAGAGAGAATCATCCAACCACTGATTCACTCCCCAAATGGCTTGCAATGGCCAGGGCTCAGCCAGGCAAAAGCCAGGAGCCAGGAGCCAGGAGCTTCCTCCAGGTCTCTCACATGGGTGCAGGGGTTCAAAGCTTTGGACCATCTTCTACTGCTTTCCCAAGGTGCATTAGCAGGGAGCAGGATTGGAAGTGGGGCAGCCAGGATTTGAACTGGCACCCATATAGGATGCCATCATTGCCAGTGGCAGCTTAACCCTTCATGCCATGGCCCCAAATAAAGCAAATTAAGAAGCAAAGATGGATAGATGTGAAAAATCAGTTTTAACCTACAATAATAAATTAAAGGATTATTTCATAAGTATTCACATGAAACCTAAGTGCTAATCATGGTTGATTTTAATATCTATGATACCAAGTACATGTAGACTGCACTAGAAAATGGAATAGTGTACATTATAAAGGCTGTAAATTATAAAGGACTCCACACACCCTGATAAGCCCTGATGTGTAGTCTGCACTCACTGATGCCTGTTTCCCAGTGGCACTGGGCAAAGGTAGGTGAAAAAGACAAGATACCAGCCTTGGGAAGTCATAGGAACCATTGCTGGTGCTTTTGTTTTCTCTTCTGTAGAGCATTTGGTCAGATGATCCTAAAAGTCTTTCACACTCTAATCTCTGTAAGTCAAGAGCCTACAATTTCAAGGCTAATATACGCTATGGCAGAAAATGCTAACAATAGCTTACTATTGTACTAATTACCAAAATTGTAGGTAAACCCATAGATAGTGCTATGGAGTAGTTAATGATAATTCAAAAATAGGGCAACATTTGCATGGAGGAGATAAGTATTATCAACAAAAGACAAATAGGACAATGGGCTTAGAGGTAGAAAGGTGGGCCCTGTGTCCTTGGGCAGTGAGTAAATTGCCTAGCTTATGGATTTAAAGAATTAAATTTGCAAGCGAAAGAAGAAGAAAATTGGAAAGATAAGATAGATCCCAACAACAGGGAGCTGAGACTATGAAGCTAAAGAATATGGATGTTGTCTATGTGGTAATGGTCAGGGACTGCAGCCTTTTATGCGAAGAACAGTAGGAGTGTGGAGTCACTGCCCTAATTAGATGAAGGGGTAACAAATATGATCTTGTAAATGGAAGGAAAAGGAGACAAATTTTCTGGGAAATAAAGAGTCAAAAAAAACTTGACAGCCAACTAAATGTTGGGATCAGTAATAAAAGGTCAGAAGAAGCAGGGTATTTTTGGTGTGAGAGAAACATAAGTTTGAGTTTCAAATTTTAAGGAAATTACAGAAACACCCTAAAGATGACTGAGCACAGTGAAGGCTTGAGTGCCTATTCAAATCCTGCCTGCTCTGCTTCCCATCCAGCTCCCTGCTAGTGCTCCTGGGAAAGCAGCAGAAGGCAGCCTGAGTGCTTGGGCCCCCTGACACCAACATGGAAGACCCAGTTTGGCCCAGCCCTGGCCATCTGGGGAGTGAACCAATGGATGGAAGATTCTCTCTCTCTCTCTCTCTCTCTCTCTCTCTCTCTTCCTTCCTTTTCTCTCCTTCACTCTGCCTTTCAAATAATTTTTTTAAATATATTATAACAAATGAGAAAACTAGGTGAAATACAAAAGAATTAAACATAACATGTTGCATATATAACCTGTAGCTTAATGGCAAATTAAATCCAATAAAAGCATAAAGGGAGGAGGCAAGAAACTAAAATGACTACAAGTGCAAGAAAGAGTTAATAGTGTAATATAATTTAAAAAAAACTATGATAGTCCATGTAATGAGATAAAAGGATGCAGCCAGCTGAACTTGTCTCTGCTGGTCAAAATTTTAGGAAATTCAAGTTCAACTCTAAGGGGCACACTGGAACACTGTGTGTCATCCCATGCTTTGCAGAGTTCCTGATACAGTGTTGTTTATTAAATAACCAGGAATAAAGGCTTCAAGAGAGGAAGAAAGGAAAAGAAGAAGAGGAAGAGGGAGGAGGGACAGGAAAATGATGGAAAGAACCCAAAGTGGAGTGCTTAGCTGCATAACAGAACCTTGTGTATGCAAAGTGAAGATGTGGAGAGGGAGTAAAACAAGCATTTTAGAGGAACAAAGCCTGAAAATGCATGAAGATCATCATATGGTGTCGCTCCCCCTCTTCATGGAGGAACGACACAGGACCCTGAGCTGTTCTTTCGTCTGCTCGGCCCTCCCCGGGTTTGCTGCTGGTTCTTCCCGGGTTGGCTACCGTCCCTTCCACCTCCGTGGAAGGGCGGTTCCCCCTAGCCACTTTCCCCACTTCCGCGGAGGAGCGACATAATGGTGCCGTGACTCGGATAGGAAGCCTAGGCAGGGTTTAGTGTCGTTCCTCCACGAAGAGGGGGAGCGACAATATGGGAAAGGTATTACATTTATTGTGGGATGCCCAAAAGAATGGCAAAAGGAGAGCAAGTTCCAAAGAACTAATTTTCTGACATATGAAAGGGACTTTATCATAAAGTCATTCAGTAATTGAATAGTGGTGGAGGAATGAGCATTAGCCTAGTGGTTATCCCACATTGGAGTGCCTACATTTGATGCTCAGTTTTGGCTCCTCATTCCAGCTTCTAACTTCCAGACATTAGAAGTCAGCTCTGATGGCTCAAATGATTGGGCTCCTGCCACTCAGCTGGAAGACCTGGATTATATCCCTGGCTCCTAGCTCCAGTCCTGGCCACTGCAGGCATTTGGAGAATGAACCAGCAGATAGAGTGCTCTCTCTCTCTCTCTCTCTCTCTCTCTCCCCTTCTCAAATTCATAATAAAAAAAATCCTAAATTTATAAATTAAGTGTGTCCACCTAAGCCTTAAATTCACATAGGAAAAGAATGAAAAACAGGCATTATCACTAATGATGAGAGTGTATCTTGGCATAGTATCTACAATGATTACCCAATTTTAAAGCTTTGTACACTTTCTGACTCAACAATTCCATTTATAAGAAAATAGCACAAAATATGCATGAAAAGATAGGTATGTTCAGTGCTGCAGCGTTATAAGAAGTAGAGAAAATATCACCTTACAACTACCCAGAGGGGACTGGCTACTGAAGAACAAGACATCTATGCACCGAGAAAGTACAGAACTTAAAAGGAATAGGTTGCCCTGTATTTGCTGATACAAAAAGTCAGCCAAAGATTAGTTATTGCTGAGTTGAAAAGATGTTTTCTCTCTCCTATTCTTTAAATTCTTTAGTAATGTGAGAATGGTATTTTGTAATACTTAAAACTATGTTGTCCCGTTGTAAAAGCATTCAATAAAAGGTTAGAAGATTACTCACTGCTGTGGTCTGAAATATTGGGTTCCCGTAAAAATTTGTATGTTGAACCCCAATCACCAAAGCAAGGTGTCAAGGGGTAGGCCACTGGGAGGTGATTAGACGGTGAGAGTTCTGCCCTCATGAAAAAGGCTTGATGGAAACTGCTTCTTCTGCCATGTAAGGATACACTGAGGGGCCTGGCGCTGTGGCACAGCAGACTAACACCCAGGCCTGAAGCACTGGCATCCCATATGGCTGCCGGTTCAAGACCTGGCTGCTCCACTTCTGACCCAGCTCTCTGCTGTGGCCTGGGAAAGCAGTGGAAGAAGGCTCAAGTCCTTGGGCCCCTGTATCCACTTGGGAGACCCAGAGGAAGCTCCTGGCTCCTGCCTTCAGATCAGTGCAGTTCCGGCCATTGCAACCAATTGGGGAGTAAACCAGAGGATGGAAGACCTCTCTCCCTCTCTCTCTCTCTCTCTCTCTAACTCTGACTGGAAAATAAATAAATAAATCTTTAAAAAAAAAAAAGAAAAAGTGTGATAGAAAAATAAAGGTGAAACAGATCATTCTCTCAGACAGAAGGAAAAGGGAAAAAAATTGGTGGTTTCACAGCTCAAACTTAGGTATAGAATTTGAAAAAAGAGAAAACACCAACAGGAATGCCATTAGTAATTAAGACATAAACAAACACTATTTAACATAACTGAATATCCATGTATAAATTTGACATTCTCCATTATAAAGAGTTCTGGAACTCAAGTTTGACTCTTTTGGACATACTACTCTATTTTTCATATAAATTTTAATATGAATTACCTTTCCCTAGAAAGAAGCTCATCTTAAAATGGAACTTGATTCAAACTGACACTCAATAAAGCAATCAGCAAGCATCGACCCAACCACTTCCTAACATAACTTCATTTAAAAAGTTCTCATTGGCATGGGCATGGCACAGTGAGTTAAGCTGCTGGTTAGGGTGCTCACATCTTATATGGAAATGCCAGTTCTAGTCCCTACAGCACTTTTTCAGATCCAGCTTCCTGCTAATGCACCTGGTAAGGCATCAGGTAGTGGCTTAAGTCCCTGGGTCCCTGCCACCCAAGTGGGGAGATGGAATTCCCGGCTCTTGATTTTGGCCTGGCCCAACTCTGGCTGTTGTGGTCATTTGGGGAGTGAACCAGCTATGAGCAAAATCTCTCTCTTTTCTTTTACTTTTCCTCTTTCTGCCATTCTTTCAGATAAATAAAATAAAACTTTAAAAATAAAAGGTATTCATTTTCAGTACATAAACTTTACAAATATATTCCTCAAGATAGCATTTTTCTTCTCACTTATGGTTAAGTTCTAGAATTTTAATATGTTTTCCTTTGCTGTTAAATAGGAATAGTCTTCTGAATTACTAACAAAGAAGATTCAAAAAATGTAATCATGATTAAAACTGTCACTGATATTTAATTCATGTGCAACCATAAAAAGCAAGCCTTTAACATCTGGATCTATACCAGCGTACTCAGTCAATATTTGGAAGCCATGCAATCTTACTGAAGCCCAGAGAGTTCTATTGGGAAGATATACTTAACTGTTTCTTCATCATTAGGTTTCTTTGTAGGCATACATGTTGGTTTTTCTGCCATGTCAGACTGAAAAAGCTGAAAATGAAGAAATAAAGTCTTTAAAATGTTCTTACAAAGGTTACATTCCTACTTTATTATTATTTTTTTTTTTTTGACAGGCAGAGTGGACAGTGAGAGAGAGAGACAGAGAGAAAGATCTTCCTTTGCCGTTGGTTCACCCTCCAATGGCCGCCGCGGCCGGCGCACCGCGCTAATCCGATGGCAGGAGCCAGGAGCCAGGTGCTTTTCCTGGTCTCCCATGGGGTGCAGGGCCCAAGCACCTGGGCCATCCTCCACTGCCCTCCCTGGCCATAGCAGAGGGCTGGCCTGGAAGAGGGGCAACCGGGACAGAATCCGGCGCCCCTACCGGGACTAGAACCCGGTGTGCAGGCACCGCTAGGCGGAGGATTAGCCTAGTGAGCCGCAGCGCCGGCCTACATTCCTACTTTATAACACCACGGACCTGTTTTGAGTTGTAGCTGTCTTGCTACAGAGGCTTCTACACAAAAAATAATATACATTCAAGATACGTGGTAATGCATGTAACCATAACACAAAAGCATTCCAGGAAATCAAAAGGACAAAGAGCACTCACTCTCCATTAAAGGACTCTACAGTCATGAGAAACTAGAGACTTTTGCTTTAAACCATGCTAAACCAACCAAGAAGCCTGCATAATTGCGTATCTTTCCAGAACAGCTTACCAGGGGAGTCTGGGCATTAGAGTACAACAACTGAAGGAGAATTAGAAAGACAGAGCTTATAGAATATAAAGGAGTCCCTTGGACACTGAACTAACATAATGATAATTCTCACAAAACACCTACTATGCATCCAGCATTGTGCCCAGCACCTTGTGCTTTACCTCGTTTAGTGCTCCTAGGAACCCTGAGGTGGACAGATTTTCATTGCCATCTGCCAGGTGGAAAAGACACAGAAAGCCAAAGGAACTTACTTGCCCAGAGGTCCAGCAGGTCTGAACTGGTCCCAAAGCTGGTGTTCTTCCTACTGGCCACACTAGTGGACCAAATCACCATTTCCTATGTCTGCAACAGTTGCAAAAAAGGTGGGGAGGATACAAGGGAGTCCTGTGTGCTGATTTCCCAGCAGGACCGCCTGCGATGACCCTGCTACCCTACTTTTGAGAACAATAGCACAAAGATATGAAGAATAGGAGGCTTATTTTAAGAGGAAATATTATATATGGGTAACGTAAAAAAAGAAAGATTAACTAAATCAAAAAACGACTCTGTGTGGTGGTCTCTTCCCCGGATCTACTCTGAAAATTGCTACCCTTTAGAATATGTAAGTTCTCTCATTTCCCCTAAAGTTAGATGGGTTCTCTTCTATAGATAACATTCTGTTCTATGCATGGTTTACTCTAGCATAGACTATACAAAGACGCTATATTTGCTGATGTTGGGCATCACAGTAACTTCTAGTCTTTTAATTACAATTAGTAGTAAACATTTAAATTACTGGGAAAAGGTTGCTCCCTAACTTTTTCTTCTCTAAGAATGTAAATAAGTTACTACAAATTCAAGAGTATCTGTTTCTGTATAACTGCTGATATTTTGATACATCTGCCCAAGTGTAGTTTGAAAACCAGACATTGGTTGGTGTGTATTTCAAAACCCAATTATAAATGAATTGCAGGAGACCAGCATTGGGGCATAGCAGGAAAAGCCGCCACCTGCAATGCCAGCATCCCAGCCCCTGCCTATGTGATCATCCGGGGAATGGAGCAGCAGACAGAATATCTCTCTATCTCTCTGTCTCTCTCGGCAACTCGGGCCTTTTGGCCTTGCAGTTAATAGACTGGTTGGGGAGCCAGCACTGTGCCAGAGCAGGTAAAGCTGCCGCCTGTGGCACCAGCATCCCACATGGGTGCTGGTTCTAGTTCCAGCTGCTCCACTTCTGATCCAGCTCTCTGCTATGGCCTGGGAAAGCAGTAGAAGATGGCCTAAGTTCTTGGGCCACTATATCCATATGGGAGACTCTGAAGAAGCTTCTGGCTCCTGGCATCAGATCTGCCCAGCTCCAGCCATTATAGCCACTTAGGGAGTGAACCAGCGGATGGAAGACCTTTCTCTTTGTCACTCCCTCTCTCTGTAACTCTATGTCTCAAGTAAATAAATAATTTTAAAAAAAAAAAGACTAGAGCAAAAGTTCTCAAAATTTGGTCCCTGAGCCCCTGGGAATCCCTGAGACATTTTGATGGGGCCCAGGAGGTGAGAGGGAGGAGGAGGAAGACTTGGAGCATTGGTGGGAGGGAAATATCACTGTGTTCCTAAATCTGTATATATGAAATACATAAAACTAATATAACTTAATAAAATTAAAAACAAGAAATGCCCAGTGAAATTTTTTAAAAATCTGCTGATAGTCTAATGGGAATTCTCTTACCTGTGACTTAATGCTTTTCTCTTTTTGCTTTTAGAATTTTCTCTTTCTTTTTTAAGTCTTTGATCCATTCTAATATAATTTTTCTATATGGTGTTAAGATGAGGGCCAAGCACCATTCTTTTGTATGTAGATTTCCAGTTTTCCCAACAACATTTATTGAAGTCTGTCCTATCTCCCACTGGATACTCTTGGTGCCCTTGTAGGAATCATTTGGGGGCTGTTGTGGTGGTTTAGTGAATTAAGTCACTGCCTACAACACTAGCATCCCATATGAGCACCAGTTTGGGCCACAGCTGCTCAACTTCTGCTCCAGCTCCCTGCAAGTGGTCTGGGAAAAGAAGTGGAAGATGATTCAAGTTTAGGGGTCCTGTCACCCACATGAGAGACCCAGAAGAAGCTCCTGGCTCCTAACTTCTGTCTGGTCCAGCCCTGGCCATTGCAGCCATCTGAGGAGTAAACCTTATCTCTCTTTCTCTCTGTAACTCTGCCTTTGAAATAAATAAATATCATAAAAGTATCATTTTAATATATGTGTGAAGACTTGTTTCTGGTGATTCTGTTCTGTTTCATTGGTCTATATGTCTATTCTTATAAGCATCACACTAGGCTTGTAGTAAGTTTTGATAATGGAAAGTGTGAAACTCATAATTGTCTTCAAGAATATTTGGATATTCAGAGTCCCCCAAGATAAGATTCTATGTTAATTTTAACATGGATTTTTCTATTTTTGGAAAAAATATTAATACTTTCACAGGAATTGAAATATATCTGTAGATCATTTTGGATAATATTAATATCTTAACAATGTTCAGTTTTTCAAAAATAAACACAGAATTTTTTCTTTTTACATGGATCCTCTTTCATTTCTTTTATCAGATATCTTTGATTAAGCTACAACTTTAATAGATTTGAAAAAATATTGGGGGCCGGCATTGCAGTGCACTGGGTTAATCTGCCACCTGTAACACCAGCATCCCATATGAGAAACAGTTCTAGACCCAGCTGCTCCACTTCCAATCCAGTTCCCTGCCAATGCACCTGGAAAGCAGTGAAAGAAGGCCTAAGTGCTTGCATCCCTGCCACCCACGTGAAGCTCTTGGCTTTGGCATAGCCCAGCCTCAGCCATTGCAACCATGAGTTAGACACTGAGAGAGAGACACAGAGAAAGGTCTTCCTTCTGTTGGTTCACCTCCATTGGTTCACCACTACAGCCAGCGTGCTGCACTGATCCGAAGCCAGGAGCCAGGTGCTTCCTCCTGGTCTCCCATGTGGGTGCAGGGCCCAAGGACTTGGGCCATTATCCACTGCCTTCCTGGGCCACAGCAGAGAGCTGGACTGGAAGAGGAGCAACCGGGACAGAACCGGCGCCCCAACCGGGACTAGAACCCGGGGTGCCAGCGCCACAGGCAGAGGATTAGCTTAGTGAGCTGTGGCACTGGCCACAACCATTTGTTAAATGTACCAGTGGTTGGAAGATCTCTTTGCATCTCTCTCCCTTTTCTCCCTCCTTCTGTAACTCTGCCTTTCAAATAAATAAATATATCTTTAATTGAAAAGGGAAAAATATAATTTTCACTAAATTTTCTTTGGTAAAATAGACTTACTGCTCATAAAACCATATTATATTCATATTAATATGCAATGAACTTAATATTGTTATGATATAATGAAACAGTTAAAATTTTCTCTCAATTTCTAATAGTAATTAAAGTAAATATTTCTACACGTAGCCCATATAAAGAATCCTTTACCCAGACTGCAGTGAAACATCACAGGTTAAGGACACAGTCACCACTAGACTTGTTTCACTGCTGTAACTAGCCCACAGTTCAAGGGTTCCCATGGACGTCTTCAGTTCTGACTATCCTTTATTTTTTTTATTTTTTTAAGATTTATTTATTTATTTGAAAGGCAGAGTTACAGAGAGGCAGAGGCAGAGAAAGAGAGAGTGCTTCCAACCAAGGTTTCACTCCCCAAATGGCTGCAACAGCTGGAGCTGGGCCGATCCAAACACAAGAGCTTCTTCCGGTCTCCCATGCAGGTGTGGGGGCCCAGGGACTTGGGCCATCTTCTACTGTTTTCCCAGGCCTTAGCAGAGAGCTGGATCAGAAGTGGAACAGCTGGGATTCGAACTGGCACACGTGTGGGATTCCAGCATTGCAGGTGGCAGCTTTACCCACTACGTCACCACTCCAGCCCCAACTATCTTTCCAACAGATGTTCTTGAAGCATTTGAATATATACAACACGAAACCCCCACCTCAACTCAACACCCGAGGTGCTGGAGAGTAGGTCATCTGATGCTTTCTTTGGTGTAGAGTTTTAATTAATTTTAATAATTTTTAGTTTTAATAATTTTAATTTTAATTTAATGCTGACTGCCTGGCTGCCTTTAGTCTCTATCCCCTCCTGAAGGTTTGAGCTAACACCTTCAGTCTCCAGTTACTCAGGGGTTGGAAGCGACTGGGCATGTTCCAAAGGCCCCAACACAAATCACAGCGGTGGACTGCCAGGGGGTAAACTCCCAGGCAAAGATCCCAGCAGGCAGCACATGCTAGGAGACCACCACCAAGCAACAAAGGGCAAAGGTCAGATTTCCATTTGCTCACTGGAGAAAGATGATGCCACGCATGGGTTTTATTAGCATTTTCCTGATGGCTAGTGATAGTGAGGATTTTTTTCCGTGTGTTTCTTGGTCAGTTGCATTTCTGCTTTGAGAAATATCTATTCAGATCCTTTACCTACTTCTTAGCTGCACTTTCTCTTGCTGTTGGTGGTGGTAAGTTATTTTATTTTTTATTCTGGATGTTAATCCTTTGTCAGAAGAACAGTATTCAATGTTTTCTCTCATTCTTGTGGTTGTCTCTATACTATGTTTATTGTTTCCTTTGACCTCAGAAGATTTTCAGTTTGATATAATTCCATTTGCCTATTTTTCACTTTTATTGATTATAATTTGGAAATGTTTCAAAAATGTCTTTGCCTGTACTGATATCTTGAAGTGTTCTCCCTATGTTTTCTTCTGGAAGTTTCATAGTTTCAGGTCTTACATTTAGGGCTTTGATCCATTTTGTGTCCGTCTTTGTATGGTGTGAAACATAGAGGTCAAATTTCAATTTTCTGCATGTGAGTGTTCAGTTTTATCAGCACCATTTATTAAAGACTCTCTTTTCTCCAAGGTGAATCTGTTGATATCACGTAGCTGTAGATGTGTGGACGTATCTCCAGGATCTCCATTCTGGTACATATGTCCGTTTTTATGCCAGTACCGTGCTGTCTTAGTTAGTATAGTATGCTTTGAGATCAGATATTGTGAGTCTCCCGCCTTGTTCTTTTGGCTCAATAGTGCTTTTGCTGCTCAGGGTCTCTTTTGCTTCTGTGACTATCAGGATTGTTTATTCTGGGTCCGAAGCTGTGGTGCAGCAGGTTAAAGCCCTGGCCTATGGTACCGCTTCAAGCCCCAGCTGCTCCACTTCTAATCCAGCTCCCTGCTAATACACCTGGGAAACCAGAGGAGGATGGCCCAAGT